TTCACAGTGTCTGGATTTTGTCAAGATCAAGCTAGGAAGATTTCGTCGTGGTCTTGCAAATCAAATTCATTGTAGAGCACGAATGCATATTCAACTAAAAATCTGATCAGATGCTGTTTATTTTCATGTGTACATAAACACTTCTTTAAATCTAGAATTAATCTACCTCAAGTGATATGAAAAATCATACTACCATTTCAAAAAGACCTCCTCCTTCTTTCTGCTGATTTTATAAAATGTTCTACACCACACCGATTAAACATGTTCATGACACACTCAAAATTTTCAAAACAAGCTATTAGGTTTTTAAAGTAGTGTTTGGCTAAATCTCTTAAAATGTTGTACATTTAAAGACTTTGTATAATACACATACCATCTCTGATCAGGATTGACCGATTCGTTTCATATGGAGGGAGTGTAAAAGAGGTGCACACCTCTTTATCCAATACATTTAATAAAATCTGCTTTGCATCATTTCTTCACCGTCTCATCGTCACAAAAAATTGGTATTGGTATTCTTTCTGTACACGCTGTATAGCATTGATGTATCCCTAATTCAACAAATGTTTCCAAATTTCCAGGCTTTATAACGCGACCTTTGATACTTACTCGTTATAATGGAAACATTTTGGCTGAATGAAATTCATCATAAATACGGCGATACACATTATTCTGTCTCACATCTTTTTTGTCTTAATGAGTAGTGTTCCCTTTATGTGTTGCGTTTGAAAAAAAAAATAATCGTACGCAGACATTTTGAATATAACGCGTTAATCCCAAATATCTTGATTCTTTTTTAGCACTGAGTAAGAAAATTTACCAGGACTGTCCGTTATTATCCACGTTAAGTCGACTGTTCCAATGTGGTTAGAAATTAGTCTATTCGAAAACCTCAACAAGAATAAAAACCATAATAACACCACAAAAGTTAATAAAAACAATAACTACAGGTGATATATGTAAGAAATTAAAAGACTTTGACAGACAGTAAGATTAAAAAAAAATGTTACATGCAATTAAAGTTTTTCCATTTTACTCAATACGTATTTTCATATTATATCTGAGTTATAAATTTACTGTTTGCAAAAATATGAATTATTCTAAATACTAAATATTTTCTTATCCCAGGCAGATAACCTAGCCGTATTTGGCACAACTTTTTGGAAATTTGGGTCATCAATGCTCTTCATCTTTAGGCCTGGCACCTTTGATAACTATAAGCTTGTCGTAATGTTCTATTGTATTGTTTTTTTGTGTGTTTCTCTGTCCTGTATGTTCTTCCATTTATTTGTATTGTGGTCCTGTCATGTAATGTTGTCATTTTAGTGTTATATTTAACATTGTCATTAAAGCGGGAGGTTTGGCTAGCCACAAAACCAGGTTCAACCCACCATTTTTTCTTAAAATGTCTTGTACCAAATCAGAAAAAATGGCTATTGTTATCTTATAGTTCGTTTCGATGTGTGTTGCATTTTAGTGTTTCTGTTGTGTCTTTGATGTGTTTCACATTCATCACCCATCAACTTCCTCTTTTCCCGTATCTATCCATGACACAACTTGTTGGCAAATGTTTTATTTGAGTGTTTTTATCATATCACATCTAAAAATTATAAACAAATTACTATTTTCTGTTGACTATCGAAGGGACATCTATTTTCAAAATGAAATTTGTAGTTTACTGCCCCTCCACTGAATAATTTCCATGGTCCTTTAACAAACTTACAATCGTTTTACCCTTTGCAAAACAAAAGTTCTGCATTTTTTCCAAAATTGATGTTTATATATTAGTGAAGTAGTCAAAGCTTTCTTCTCTTAATAAGGATAGAGAGGTAGTGTATGCAACATACATTATGCACATGTGCTTCCACTATAAGACTGCATTAAGAATAATGATCAAAATTATTCAAAAAAAGGACAACAAGTTGAATTGATAAAAGATTTAAGGAAGTTATCTCTTTGACAGGGAATAATTAGGTTTGCTCAAGTTCCTGATTATTTTTTTTGACAACAGCGAGGTTGAGATCAAATAGTAATACTAAACTTAAACCATCATATTCATAGCTTTTGACGATGATCTAGTTAGACTTACAGTTCAAGATAGTTTTCGAAACATTGATTAAAATTGAGTTCACGTCAATCCTCTGAAATAATAAATTTGAAAATTTAAATTTTGTTTTAATTATTGATTACCAGTTAAACTTCAAGATATTGTTAAGGATACAGTTAAAGTTTGAAATTGACTTTAATATTCAGAATTAGTTTATTTTCTGGATCATTTTCTCAGTTACTATTTTTATAAAAAGTCGATTATAATTGGTTTTACTATAGATGTAAGAAGATGTGGTATGAGTGCCAATGAGACAACCATTATAGGTCAAAGTACGGGTTCAACGCGGAGCCTTGACTCACATCGAACAGCAAGCTATAAAGGGCCCCAAAATGATATCAAGCTTCATATACTAGTACGCATGCAATACATATAAGCTGTAGAGGGCCCCAAAATGACTAGTGTAAAACAATTCAAACCGGAAAATCAACGGTCTAATTTATATAAAAAACGAGAAACGCAAAACGCTTATGAAACACATCAACAAGCGACAACCACTGAACAACAGGTTCCTGACTTAGGACGGGTGCAAACAAATGCAGCGGGTTTAAACGTATAGGTAAACAATATTAATAGGTGTATACAAGGAAAGTATGGAGTGCATGTCTTTCTGACGGTTTTTATCAGACCTTGAACTATTCAAATTGTAAATCGATCATTTTTAAATTTCAGGAGGAAGTTAGCTTTACAAAAATAGTAAATAAAAAGTCAACTATAGTTGGTGGATTTAAAAAAAAATTATTGTAAGGTGTACATTTTGGTCTGACCACGAAAGTATTATATTTCATTTTACTTCTATGGTCTGACAGATTATTGATCTCACCTTATTTTCATGCATTAATTGTTTCAACGTAAGTTTTAGTGATTGGTTTTTTTAGTAACTTTATTTAATTTTGGCAATTACATAAATTTATATGTTTATGTACATCATAAAAAGATGAAGTAGGATAGCCAGAGAGACATCTATCCAGAAAAGACCAAAGGGGTAGGAAATGCAAAACCACAGGTCACTAAAGTAAAGCATGTAAAGAGTTATTTCAGATAATTCGTTGCAGCCTTGAAGCGCAACTACAATTGTTTCTCATAGAGCACATGCTACGTATTTTAATTACGGTCCGTCGTTGTGTTGTTCTGCATAACTGTTTAGTCCATTTTTTGGTATCAAACTCTCGCGTGGCTAGGTATTTATACATCCCACTGTTGTGTTATAGAGTGTCTATATGTTTTTTTGTTTTTCTTTGTTGAACTAGCAATTTGTTTTATAGTGATTAAGATTGTAACACAATGTTGACTGCTGTTCCCCAATTTTTGACATTTATACCTATTATGTCTGTTTGTTTTACTTACACATTGTGGTCAATATAATGGAATTATATGTGAATGTCATACAAGTGAGAGGTTAATCTAGCTATAATACCAGGTTAAATGCATCATTTTCTACAAAAGGAAATGTCTATACCAAGTCAGGAGTATGACAGTTGTTTTCCATTCGTTTGATGTGTTTTTGTCATTTGATAAGGGACTTTCCGTTTTAAATTTTCCTTGGAGTTCGGTATTTCTGTTATTTTACTATTTAGTAGAACATATTATTCTGTTAACATCACATTTCTTTCTATTTTTAATTAAAAAAAGGGTAAGTCAACTTTCGTATAACATTACTATACAATAAATTAAAAAATCTTTGTAATGTGATATTGCAATAAACTTTGCAAAATATGGTAAGGTGACATAACAATAAAATATATAAAAGGTACAATGTGATATTTCAATAAAATATGTCACAAATTGAAATGAGATATTACAATAAACTTTGTCAAAAACTAAAAGGTGACATTACAATAAAATACATAAAAGGTATAATGTGATATTCAATAAAATATGTCACAAATTGCAATGTGACATTACAATAAACTTTGTCAAAAATTGTAAGGTGACATAACAATAAAATATATAAAAAGTATAATGTAATATTTCAATTAAAAATGTCACAAATTGTAATGTGACATTTCAATAAAATATGTCACAAATTGTAAGGTGACATTACAACAAAATATGTCAAACAATCTTTATGTGAAATCACAATTAAGTGTGTCAAAAATTGTGATGTGACAGTACAATAAATTATGTTAATAAACAACCCTAAATAAATATTTATCAATCCCCCAGAGGCAATCGAACGCCTGTCGAAATCGTGGATATTATTTCTGACTTTTATCAAGTCATTATGTTTTAAAGAACTCATTGCAATATCATAAGAGGCTAAGTAAAAATGTGTTCATCTGAACTCGACACCAATTTTTCTGGTTCATAGAATAATTTAAGATATACGATTTGATGTTCATTTCAACCACTTTTGAGTAATTGGTCAAGAAGAATTGGTTCATAGAATTATTTAAAGATTTATTGTCTTATTGAACCCTTGATATAGTTCTATAGTTCAATGATCAATGTCAATTTCAAAGACATTCAACATTGTATACATTCAGCAAGCATCTTCGCATTTCAACATGTCAATTTTCAAATTTAGAAATGATTTTTTTCTATTACATTTATTGATTTGATCATATGGCAACTTTCCATTGCTCTTACAATTTACAAGCCATAAAGGTCTTGATTTATACATTGTATATATGGTTAAATTTCTGTGTAAAGTACGTAACTTAATGAATGAAAATGCTATTTTTCCGTGCGATGTTTTCCATAATCCTAACCCTTGTTAAAATAAAGGTGTGTTTATTGCACCTTTTTTCAAGGTTCTAATATAATTGATTACATATGTTACATAGGAAATAACAAATCTAACAAAATTTGTAACTTGATTTTTCATAAATTATATAAGCTGTCAACTTTAAAAGGTTAATATTTGTCACCGAAACTTTCTTTTTTAATTCAGGATGAAATTTTATATTATCATATAGATGAAAACAAATCTTAATTCTGAAGATGAAACATATGTGCTGCCATGATATCATCATGTAAGTGCTATGAATAATGTGTACATGAATACGCCATGATTTATGCATGTGAAGGTACAATAACATGAATGCCATGATTCGGAAAAGAATATGTATGAAGTTAATTTATATATAAAGTTGCCTACTACTTATTGTGGATATAAACAAAATTAACACCAACAAAGATGACATCTCTCTCCAAAGAAGAAGACAACTTTGTGAGAATGGGCTTGTTAATAACAGGGATTTCTCCACGTGCAGCACGAGCTTTGTTTGATAAAGAATTTCACCCTTCCTGTTTAGATACAACCCTGAGGAAAGAGTATTTCAAACTGAAACAACTTAAGGATAACAAACATGTTATAAACCAGCAGCAGTGGACTTTGTTGTTTCCTAAGCCGCCTGGTATGTATAAAATCACTGAGACATGTTATAAACTAGCAGCGGTGTAATTTGTCATTTCCTAAGCCGTCTGGTATGTATAAAACACTGAGACATGTTATAAACTAGAAGCAGTGTAATTTGTCATTTCCTAAGCCGTCTGGTATGTATTTAACACTGAGACATATAATAAACCAGCAGCAGTGGAATTGGTTGTTCCTTAAGCTGCGTGGTATGTATCAAAACACTTAGACATGTTCTAAACCAGCAACAGTGTAATTTGTTTTTTCGTAAGCAGCCTTGTATGTATAAAACACTGTGTGACGTCCATTTTCACTGAACTAGTACACAATTTTATTTAGGGGCTATTTTAGTTTCCTATCGTTAACTTTCTTTTTGTTATTTGGCTGTTTATTTAGTTACGGTGTGCATATTTAACAACTCGTTCGCTTATTGTGTCTGTAGTGACGTTTCAGATTTCAATGGCGTAATTCAATTATAACTGGTAAGCTATTCATTAAGGTATTCGTTACCAGAAATTGCTTAAAACTTTTCCTAAAATCTTTCATATATACATTTAGATTTGGTTTTACATTTGACTGTACCAGTATAATTTAAAAAAAAAAGGAATATTACATCCTACTTTTGATGGTTATGATATTCATATATTGATCTTTGAACAATTCAACTGTGTATATTTCTATCTGATAGAGATAATCTAATCTTGACTTTTTTTGCATGGATTATTGTTAATGTTCAGTTCACGTGATACCTTAATTTGTTAAATGATTTGAATTCATTTTTGTTTTGTTAATCGATATTGCCTAATTTGTCTGAGAAAGGTTTTGTGATCTTAGGGGAAATCAAAAAAGGAAAGAAGATTCTGCTAATTCAGAATTTTGTGTGATGCGAAAATTGTGACGAGATAGGTTTCGTAAACATTAAAACTCAAATGTCAAATTTTGGTAACAATATTTGTGTGCTACATTACCTAAAATCATTATTATCAAACTAGAATTTTGGATCATTGTTCAACAATCACAATAATCAATGCACGCAAAAATTTCAGAATTTTCAAAAACTTTAATCAAAGGATTGTTTTTTATTTTGAATAATTTTAATGCTTATAGAATTGCTTGATAATATTCATTGGTCCATTGAGTTAAGAATTTTTAATTGACAGATATTCCAAGGTCGGACACCTTTGACGTAACTTTGATGATAACATTACTGAGAAACCTAGCAGTGTTAACTGATCCTGTAAAAGGATATGATCACCTGCCTAGATCCGGTGAGAAAACACCTGCTTCGGATTTGGCAAGGATAAAGTATTACAGAAACTACCTAGCCCATCTTGAAAACAGCAAGATAGACACTGCTTTATTCACTACTGCTTGGAACGACATTAGTGAGGTTTGTATGATATTACGACAATTAACAAAATAGATGTGGTATAGTTGTGCAAAATAATGCCGAAGAATATCATATCGTATATTCAGAATAATTAAGCAAGAGATTGTGCATAATTACATCTTACCAAAATACCAGATACACCAAAATAATATGCAAGGACAGAAATCTTGGTTATTTGGCTGACAATGAAGTATCATTATGCCATAGTTTATTCAGGGTCGGGGTCGGGGTGAAAAGAGCAACATCTATGAACTTGTAAGTCCATGTATTAAACAATGTAAGTCATTCTTTGATTGACTATTGCTTGCGTAAACATTGTTAAAGTTCAGTGGCAATTATTTTCATATCCAGGACGGTGTTGCTCTATAAAACAATCTGTTGAAAAATCATTTTAAAAATACAATGACACAATACAATACATTTTTTTCTTAAGAAGCACCAGTGGGTCATATAAATATAACAAATATGGTGTTTTATAAGTCATACAATCCTACATAGTATAATTATAACACAAATATAACTATAGTTCAAAATATCAGATTATATATCAAAATCGTGGATTTGAACGTTCGCATATATCCCCTAGTTTCTAGTGCAAAAAAAAGGCATGAAGATGGCTGAATGATTTTGAAGTCAAATATAAAAATTGCAGTAATAGTATCACTAGTTATTTTATCTTATACGGTGAAAGTTATATTTTTTTTTCAACTCCAACCAACAGTCTTTAAAGATTTTTTCCCAAAATTACTCTATGGATCTTTAAAATCTTTTACTCATTTTAAAGCTGAAATATTACTCTTTTTTAATCTACAGATAGTTATTTTGGTAGAATCAATTAAAAATACATCTCTTAAACTGACTTTAGAAAAGTGCTTTGAACGTTCGCATATATCCCCTAGTTTCTAGTGCAAAAAAAAGGCATGAAGATGGCTGAATGATTTTGAAGTCAAATATAAAAATTGCAGTAATAGTATCACTAGTTATTTTATCTTATACGGTGAAAGTTATATTTTTTTTTCAACTCCAACCAACAGTCTTTAAAGATTTTTTCCCAAAATTACTCTATGGATCTTTAAAATCTTTTACTCATTTTAAAGCTGAAATATTACTCTTTTTTAATCTACAGATAGTTATTTTGGTAGAATCAATTAAAAATACATCTCTTAAACTGACTTTAGAAAAGTGCTTTCCCAATTTGGATAAAAATAGCACATTCAGGTGAAAGGTAGGTAAAATCTGTTTTCATCCCTTTTATTGACCAAACACTAGTTAAAAAAACTGTCTCTCAGATTTTCGATATATGCCTCCAATTAGAAGAAACTTTGATTGAACTACTGGGTGCCAAACTTCATTTCACCTTTCATCTAAGGAGATCTATACATTCATTCAGAAACAAATTATCCCAAAATTGAGACACGGTTGTGTAGAAAATACTCCCTTTAATCACATATATCAATGCCAAACCAAACCAGATAGTATTATAATTCATACTGGAATGAATACCATTAGCATTAATTTTCTGAAAGTCAACAATGCAGGCATGCACCTCTCCATCCTTTAAGCTTCGATTATTATAAAAAAAAGATTTTAGAATAAACAATGTAGTAAGACGTTCATGCTTTTTTTAAACTCATAATTAACAGTCATGAATTAAGTGATTTTTCAAAAAAATCATCAAACATATTATTAAAAACACCATTAAACACTCTGTTCATGGCACTGGTCATTCAGGTTCCTTTATAATTGTAAGGATATTAGATATCTAAATTGTTGAGACAACATTTGGGTATAGTTCAGACGGAAAGACATGAGTTGAAAAGTTTTCTTGTACAAACTGTTGTTTTTTCTTCTTTGTATGCCTAAATCTGTTTTTGAATATTCAGGTTTTGAAAGTTTGAGAGCCATATGCAGAACATGTCTAACATGGGTTTTGGAATCGTTTAGATAACTCATTAGGTTCCAATTTGCAAAGTGATTGTATGTGTTGCGGATATGTCTGTTTCCTATCTATATTGATCGAACAATTAAGTTTATAAAATTATTTTAAACAAGTGTGTCTTTACTATACTTTAAATATATACTTTACCATAATCTCTTTGAGGTCCAGATAAAACCAGTTGTATACACTCATTTTTGTACCTATTGTTTGTTTTTAGATCATGATACAACTGAGTAAATAATATGCCTTGGCTCTGCACATGTATCATAAATGTTGTGTTGTTTTATTATTGTACTGTTGATGTTTTTTTAATATGTCAGCCGAGCCCAATGACATCTAAAAGTAATAATCGGAGTCACCACCACAAATAAGATAAGATATAAACACGTCATTGCTTGTATATCACAAGTTACCTTTAATTCCGTTTACAATAAGCTTCTGACAAAATAGGTATTTATAGATATGAGACTTTAAACTACTACATGTGGTCGATGATACTCTCTCAAAGAAGAACAACATCAATAGTATTCGACCCATTCGGTTTATAACACGTAAAGGGGTTAAAAACATCACCCTGCAACCTGCTTTCTGTCATTCAAATCTTTATCTGAATATTGTTCTGTGTGTAAGATCTTTGTCCGTCAGTGTTTACTTAAATAAATACCATAAATCATTAAAATGTAGTCATGCTTTGAAAATACTCTTAGGAATTAAAATCTCAACAAGGTAAAATTCGCCATGTTTTTTTAAATTTAAAGAAAAACATCAATACTAAGCATTTTCATTTGCTGATTTTCTGTTAAATCAAAATAGTTCTTTTGAAGTTTAACCCATTCATAATCAAGGTTAGTAATATCTAAATTTTTAATAAACAGTTTCAATTGTCTATAAATAAAACTGACAATCCTCCAAAATATTTGTAATTATGCTTGGATTGTTTTCTGCATACTGCATTTCAAAATCATATGTTGTTCATATTTGAGTTTGGACCTATATGTATTTTCACAAAAAAAACCCGGATAATATTGTTTAATATATTGAATGTAAAGATGATTTTGTGTTTTATCATTATATTTTAATGAATTTTGATTAATTAATTAGGGCCCCGCCGAATGGCGGACGCCCTATAGTGATCAGTCTGTCCGTCCGTCTGTCCGTCTGTCCGTCCATCTGTCCGTCCGTCTGTCCGTCCGTCCGTAACAAATTGAATTGTGTCCACCCTATATCTAGAGAACCATTATGATTTCAAAGTTTATACTTGACATGTATATTAACTAACACCAGAGGGTGTGTCATAATGTATGTACAAATTCCTAGGTCAAAGGTTAAGGTCAAAAACTTTGGTTTCAGTTGAGAACCCCATGTCCTATGGTAAAGATCGTGTCTTCTCTATATCTTGAGAACCGTTATGATTTCAAAGTTTATACTTGACATGTATATTAACCAACACCAGAGAGTGTGTCATAATGTATGTACAACTTCCTAGGTCAAATGTCAAGGTCAAAAACTTTGGTTTCAGTTGACAACATCATGTCCTATGATAAAGATCGTGTCCGCTCTATATCTTGAGAACCGTTAGGATTTCAAAGTTTTTCCTTGACATGTATATAAACCAACACCAGAGAGTGTGTCATAATTTATGTACAACTTTCTAAGTCAAAGGTCAAGGTCAAAAACTTTGGTTTCAGTTGACAACCCCATGTCCTATGGTAAAGATCGTGTCCGCTCTATATCTTGAGAACCGTTATGATTTCAAAGTTTATACTTGACATGTATATAAACCAACACCAAAGGGTGTGTCATAATTTATGTACAACTTCCTAAGTCAAAGTCAAGGTCAAAAACTTTGGTTTCAGTTGACAACCCCATGTCCTATGGTAAAGATACAATTTTTTTAACGCACATTATTCACATCGGGGCCCACAGAGATGGCTCCCATCTCAATGATATCTAGTTGTTGATGTTAAACACCACACTAAGCAACTCTTTGCTATATTGTTTTTATTGTTGGAGATATCTGAAGATATGAGCTTATAGGTGGGGGTCGAACTAGCAACGCCATTGTTAACAGGCTAGCAATCACTGTGAATTTTTACAGTATTTAAAAGGTCGAAACAAAATGTGCGGTAAACAATATCAGAATTTATATATAAAGTAATTTTCCAAAACCCTCAGACAAAGTTGACCTTGGGTGAATTTGGATATTATTGTATGTATTTATTGGTCACATAGTTCCAAATGTTTTTACGTATTCATACATCCTTTCCTTTTAAATGTTTAGGATGTAGTGTTCCTGATAAAGGAAAATCCAGAAAAGCGCTTCGGACATACGTAATAATACGTATTATTTTCGTTTACTAGCACGGGGTTGTTACCGCTGCAAATGATATATACGTCCCAAATGGATCATCATCTTAGTAGTCACATAAAAAGTAAAATAACAAATAAAATCAAAAATACTGAACTCCGAGGAAAATTCAAAATGGAAAGTGGAAGTCCCTAATCAATTGGCAAAATCAAAAGCTCTAACCCATCAAACGAATGGATAACAACTGTCATATTCCTGACTTGGTACAGGCATTTTTTTATGTAGAAAATGATGGATTAAACCTGGTTTTATGGATATCTAAACCTCTCACTTGTATAACAGTTGCATAAAATTCCATTATATTGACAACAATGTGTGAACAAAACAAACAGACATTCTAGGTAAAAATGTCTAAAATAGGGGAACAGCAGTCAACATTGTGTTATAATCGTAATCACTATAAAAACAAACAAATATGCCAACAAAGAAAAAACAAAAAGGCAAAGCACATAAGCAAGATGACACTATTCATAAAACTACTAATTTAAAATTCCTCGTTGATAGAATTAGAAATTGTTGAGAATCTATGGTTCAAACTCCCTTAAACAAAGTGTACCTTAGATGTTTTAGGCGATTCTTTTCATGTCCCTGTTTGGTCATATATTTTATTACATTTCTATGTATTTATACATCCTTGGCTTTTTAATGTTTATGTTTGAGAGTTCCTGATGAAGATGAATTTAGAAAAGACACTTCGGAGGCACGAAATTCATAAAGTGTTATTGACATTGCAGAGGATGTTGAATACAAAAAAGAAAGAAACACACACAGCCACCTATTGAAAAGAAAAAACATTCCTCCTGAAATTTTTGGCAGTTAGTGAAGGACTGATTGAAATATAAATGGTTAAAATAAAGAGGCTTTGCTTATTTTTGAAAACATTTTTATAATATTCTAGGCTATTGGTAGATTAGGTGGACCACTAATGAAGAAGGATTGTGATCAGTTAACGGCAAAGGTACTCGATCAAACAAATAAAGAAATCATTCTGGAAATAAATAAATCAAAGAATGAGATTGAGGAAATGAAACAGTCATTCAAGAATTTAAAAATATCTCATGAAGAGGAACGAGCAAAGAATGTGGAAAGTAAATATATAGTAAAGTATAAGATGATTCCCCTTAATGTACGACTAGTGTAACAAAAAATCCTATTGCATAATTAAAAATACCGTACGACTAATTGTATACAATAATATTTATAACCAGGTCTCGGATAGTTAGTTATCAACTAATTAATAGGCATGTGTTTACTTTCAATGTTTGTGGAATTTGCAAGGTGCTTTGTCGATGTTAGTGTTCATGGTATATAATCAAATCGATCCGGTCGTCAAATTATCATTTTGTACCAAGAATTACTGGAAAAAAGATGGTATTGTTTAGAAGGACCAGGACAAGAATACGTTCAATATTTATACTTTGAAATTGCGTACAAGACTGACATGGGTTGATGATTGTCTTAACTCTGCTGTTGGTATATAATTATTTCTGAGGACTGAGACATTCGATTTGATACAAACATTTTCAAAGAGGTATTGTGTCCACGTTTTGAAGCGAGTGTTTATTGATGAGACCATGACTTGGTTCTGCTCTGAGTGTCTGTTTATATTTCATAGATTTTATGCAAGTTTATCACAAACTTCCTAATTATTAGGTCTTTCCACTTTTCTGTGGAAAGACCTATTGATTTTGTTCTGATTATTATTATTTTTTCTTCCGCCAAACCCTTTTCTTGCGGTGTAAAGTTGTTTCGCAAGATGTCGCTTAGATATTTTAGATTGCGCTTTAAAAACTGATCTTGTTAAGCCGAAGACTTTTTTATTGTAAGAGTTATCTCCCCAAACACTGTTTTTCTTGTTAGTGTATCTCCTCCATAACCAAAAGAGATAACGACAAAATTCTTTTTCATATTTTTTCGTTACATCCTCAGAAATTTTTGGCTGGTGGATCGAAGCGATCCGGTGAAATCTTATAGGAGTTATCTACCTTTACCAAATAAATTTGTCGTTATGTTTTTGTATCTCATAAACCGTAAGCCGTACAAACCTAGAATCTTGTTATTTGAGGTCCTTGGGTCCTAACTTAGAAAATGAGGTTAAAGTCGAAGGTCAAGGTCATATTCTCAATTTTGACTTTTGCTTGTTTTTCGCATTTTCCCTGACACTTTTAAAGTTATTACTAAAGAACTAGTGCAAAATGTTTGCTTTATTGTGATGAAGATATGATACATTTGGTCTGAAACAATCCAATAAGACCTAAATGGAGTAATTGCCCTTGAAATATTTTATTTTAAGGTAAATTGATTATTACCTCAGATTGGTACATGATGAAGCCATAAGGTCTTTTGCAAAATGTTGGGTGACATATGACCTTGAAAATGTCAACCGGAAGTGACCTTGAGTGAACCGGAAGTAGTCATTTTTGCACTTATTTCATGTAAAAGTACCTAGAAACCATATGTTTTTTTAAATGGGCATACATCAACCTATCATTTGAGACCAAAAGTGACATTTTATAAACCGAAAGTAGCAAATTATTTCCTTATTACAGGCATAAGTATATAATAAGTATATATTTTTGGAATCAGTGTGAATAAAGCTATCATTTGAGATCGGAAGCGACATTTTCTTAACCGGAAGGAGCCAATAATCTCCCTTATTTCAGGCAAAAGTATATAGAAACCATATATTTAGTGAAATGTTATGAAGAAACCTATGATCGGACGCCAAAAGTAACTTTGAGTAAATCAGAAGTAGCTACCTATCAATTATTAAGAAAATTGTAGTTGAAAGACCGTCAATTGTTCTCTGAACAATTGGTTTTCAATTTTAATCTTTTTTCTTTATTTATCTCAGAAAACTAAACGAACCCAAGTTTCAGTTTCAAGTATAAGAAGCGGCTGATCGCGATATATACTTTATCTGAAATGTTGGCCAACAGGATTTGATTTGAAAATATGTGGTTCGTATATATACAACAGTAAGCCACGGCTTTTCACGAATCACCCATTTAACAAATACTTATAAGAACAGAAACATGCAAATGTGAAAAGTTTGTAGAGAATGTACACAATTGATCTTGTTTGAGACCGACATGTTGGAAGAAATTATAATTTTTAAAGGGAAATGTACCAATTTTAAGCCAGAATTGTTGTTAGATGTCTTGACTTAAATTAGCCAATTTGAGCCTTTGCCCTTTCTTGGACGTTTGTTGTTTGTTGTCTGTAATTAACTAACATCATTCATAAGCTGAACCTGGTTTTAAAGCTAGCAAAACCTCCCGCTTATATGGCAATGTTAAAAATACCGCTAAAATGACAACATTAAGTGACAGGAATACAGTACAAACAAACGTAAGAACACTCAGCACAGAGAATACATAAATAAATTATATAATAATTCATTACAACATGTAAACTGCAGAATAACAACGAACACCTCCCATGAATTAACGACAGCACCCCGGACACCACAAACGAAATATAAACTGAGCGTCATATAAATGGATCAACGTCACAAAAAGTGACGTATTTTTTGTGACGTTTATATCATCACAGGTAAATTTCTAAAAATAAAATAGATTTGTTTTATTTATAGACACGTACAAGAATATTAAATTGGAATTGAGTATGTAATGTTGATATTTTATGTATTTTCTAACTATGCCACGAATATTAAAATGGAAATGTGTTTGTAATGGTGTTATTATTTGTATTTCCTAACCAATTCGGGTTTTCTTCTAAATAAAACTGTGTATAAACAAAATTATCCTGTGCACAAAGTTGCTTTAAACTTAAAATCATTTAAATAAAGTAGCTGATTTTTTATCTTAACTTTTACATACATATAGAAAATTGAAAAAAAAATAATAACTGTAATATAAGGCAAGATCATGTAAGACCTAACAGTAAACACACATGAAAACAAACAACATAAAACAAAAACATGTAGACGAACCACAAGTAACTTGACTATACTGACAAGTAAGACATATATGAATTGTACCGAAAATACAGAATGCAGAACACAAAAGAAATAAACAGACAACAACTCAGCACAAAATGACCCACCGGACCCACACGTAAAAGAAAGTAACAACAAAATGACCGAAAGTGGAATACATGTATATGAATACCAAACCACATCGTCTCCAACAGCGAACATAAGACATAACAAAATATTCAACCGGTCTTACAAAAGAAACATCATAACTAAATACAGGAATGTTGTATATATAAATACCGAGACACGTCGTATAACAATGCGAATTCAAACTCGGCAAAACATTCATTTTCGGGAATAGGTCACGTTCGAAACTAAGCAGACCACACGGTATAGATGGAAAGCCACAATCTAAGACGTGGTTAAAATGTCGTTAGATAGTTAAGACACAGACAAATCGTAAAGATCAACCAATTCGTGATGATGTCCATAAAATTTACGGAGTGTCATTTTTAATCTTTTCCTCCTCATTACTCTGTTGGAGCAGTTTCTGCGTAAGGAGGAAACTCCTGTATATGAATTCCGTATAGTGTGACCATGCACGAGCATAGCGTATCAATTGAGATATGTAAACACCATACGACAAGGCAGAGAGTATGTTACTGCTTAGAAAATGGATATTGATAATTTTGAGGTTGAAATCATCCCGTTTGTCATATATTTTATATTCTTTTTTAAAGTTCCATCTATATTTCACATGTATATTTTATTTTCAATCTACTTGTAACTAACCAGCTGATTGCTGTATATTTCTGTTATGAATCTTCAACATTGTGCAAATGTGTGAATTATACATGTATTATTTCATGCAGTTGCATGTACTAATTGCAGTGTATATACTTTTAAATGACCAAGAATACTAGTAAAACGTAAAATAACGAAAATACCGAACTATAAGGAAAATTCAAAACGGAAAGTCCCTTATCAAATGGCAAAATCAAGAGCTCAAACACATCAAACGAATGGAAAACAAATGTCATATTCATGACTTCGTACAGGCATTTCCTTATACAGAAAATTATGAATGAAACCTGGTTTCATAGCTAGCTAAACCTCTCACTTGTATGACAGTTGCATAAAATTTCATTATATTGACAACAATGTGTAAACAAAACAAACAGAAACTTCTTTGTTATCATCCGTGAAGTCTAATGATTTATTTTACCAAATCATGTAAGGACAATATCAACATTTGGAATTAAACTCCATTGGTTTTGTACAACTATACAGTAGTATAAAACCCATTGACTTACACAATGTTACAGAGACAAAGTTACAGTTCTGACGTTCACTGTAGGATATTCACATGAAATATGGTTTACATTATTGATTGGTTTGCACTCAACAGAAAATACTTTTTTTTAGCAAAAGCAGAACTATTGACAGAAATTGAGGAATTAAAAACAGAGCAGAAAGAAATTATTCCAAAGAACATTAGAGGTAAGCTGTTTCCACATATTGACACAACTGGACGATTTCCTAACATGCTTTCAACTTATTCACAATTCTCGGCATAGCCTCTGTCCTAACGTATGTCGTATCCATATCTCAACTGATATGTTGCCCAATACCAAAACTCACATAATACAGACTTCATAAACACCAAAGCAAGAGATGGGTTACGCATGAATTAGGCGTGTTCAGGTATTAAAAGGAAAAGAATGTTAACATTGAAAGTGAAACAAAGGTAAACCATTTATTGACTGATTCGATCCACAAATACTCATTCTTATACAGGTTAAAAAGATGATTGACATATATTCATATCTATAATATGAAATCAAACAGACCTAGAAAAATCCAACTGCACGTGTTCACTTTCTGTTAATATTTATATTCGTGTTAATATCGGGTTATATGACCGTCGGCAGTCTTCGGAGGTCATCTCGATGGTTAATTAGATGGTGTCTAGACAAAAATACACACAAAGACCATGCGTTGTTATTGTTTATTTTGTATTTTTGATATACGTTTTAGTATGTTATAAATCAAATATGAGAATTTGAGTAAAATCGGTGAACATGAATTTGGCAGTTAATGCCCCTTTAAGGAACTAACAATCAAACAATAGGTATTTAAATTGTACTTAAAACATTAACAAGTCAATCAACCACCATGATTAGTAGCAAACTGCACCAACCACCAACATATTTTGCATTTTTGTGAGCCGTAAATATCAAACGAAAACGGTGCATGAACAGGAAGACACAACTTAAGAAATATCCAATACCTAAAATTAGATAAATGAAACGAACTATTTTTTTTAAAATAATACTGATTATTTTTATATTTACTGCAGAGTTTTTAAATTTGCGTTTCCTGTCTTAAAAAAATGCACTACGATATAACTGGTTTTTTTTCGGACCAGTGTTTGTCATATGTCTGTTTTGTTTTACTAACGTCATTCTGTCGGGCTGTTCAATACAGTTTTTATCAGAATTCTTCGACTGTTTTATAAATTGTTTATGTATTCTGTTATTGTAATTCTTATTCAATGTTATGACTTTCGGTTTGATTTAATTTTCTCATAACCCTTACTTAATCATAATTTTACTAAATGGCAAGAAATAAAAATAAAAATTTTCTCCTTGATAATATTCATGTACGTTTCGCCAATAAGTTTATCGACAGGTTGTAGGTATTCCTATGGACTTCCATTGCGTCCTTTTAATAGTAGACTTGATCTTGTACTGTTATGAATTACAGTTTACGACAAATTTCAGTAAAGACCCGTCTAAATTGCATTTAATTGATGAATTCAACAACACTTACCGTTATCTTGATTATATTTTTTCGCTAAATAATCAAGAATTTTCTAAATATACTGCCGAGTTTTACCCAACGAAACTTACTGTAAATAAATCAAATATTAACGGTAATAACTGTTCTTTTCTAGATTAAGACATTTCAGTTTTACACGGGAAACTCTACACTAAAATTTTCGACAAAAGGGACGATTTTTCGTTCCGTATTTTTAATTTTTCTTTTTTAGACGGTGATGTGCCTTTGTCGCCATCTTACGGTGTTTATTTATCACAACTCGATCGCTATGCCCGTGTCTAGTGTAACGTTTTGGATTTCAATGAATCTATGTATCATTGGTAAATTATTAAATCATGGATTTCGTTACCACAAATTACTTAAAACCTTTACTAAATTCTTTCATAGATATAAAGATTTGGTTTTGAAGTTGTTGTATCTATAGAAAGTTTATTTTAAACGAGATAGCACATCCTCATTTTTACGGAGATGTTGTTTACCGAGCCTGGAAATTTGGAAACGATCCGGGTAAACTTATCGATCCTTTAAATAAACTTTTTCTAAAAGGTTACCAATTCAAAACTATAATTAGATCTTTGAATTTTACTTTTATTGGTATTAATATAGATTTTGTTATCAGTGTATTAAGATCAAACTAAATATTATTTGTATATACATATGCACATTTATGGCTCTACAATCTATCGATACCTGTATCTTGGCATTGTACAAGGTGATGTTTTTGTCTGACTGTTTATGACGTATTTACACTAAATCCATTGGAGGTTGGATGTGTACTGATTGATCTTTTAGTCTTAGATGCATGATATAGTTCATTAATTGTTATTGGCTTTGAACTAGTTATCAGTAACTGCGAGTATTCTCATATCTATACTTAGTGTCTTTCTGTTGTGTGGATGTATAAGTAACCGTCCACGTCCACTCTGTGTTTTTGTTAGATGTATTTTTATTTGTATCAATCTGATGAGTTAAGCCTTTTTTCAATTTATTTTTATAGTTTGTTCTTGTGTTGTACTGTTACACCACTGTATCCCAGGTTTTGGGGAGGGTTGGTGCCTTCAGACTAGTTTAACCCCGCCACATTCTGTATGTGCATGTCCCAAGTCAGGAGCATGTAATTCAGTGGTTGTCGTTTGTTGCTGTGTAACAAATTTGTTTTTCGTTCATTAGTTTGTACATAAATCAGGCCGTTAGTTTTCTCGTTTGAATTGTTTTACATTCGTCATTTTGGGGTCTTTTATAACTGACTTTGCGGTATGGGATTTGCTAAATATTGAAGACCGAACGGTGACCAATAGTTGTGAATTTGTGTGTCATTTGGTTTCTTTGTGGAGAGTTGTCTCATTGACAATCATACCACATCTTCTTATTTTTACAAGTCATATAACCTTTATCAATTATCTTATATCAGAAAATGTATTAGTAATCAGAACAATATTTTGAAGTTTGATCATGATCATAGATTTAATGAGTATAATTTTTTAGTTAGGATTTTGCAAGCTGTGTCATTATTATCCTTGAAAGACTTTATTTACATAATTTAGATCAGATAATTAAACAAATTGAAGAATGGGAATGGAAAGATCAGATGTTTGTGACTACAAAAGCTAGCGATCACGTCATGAAATATTTACAAGACAACAGCTGTGTGACCTTGACTGCCCCAGCAGGAGTAGGGAAATCATTTATCGCTAGACATACAGCACTGGTTTTACAGAAGGAGGGATACACAATAATACCAGTTCATTCACCATCTGATATACGAGATTATTACCAACCTGGTAAACAGACAGTCTTCATTGTAGATGATATCTTTGGAAATTTCACTGCCAACCAACAACAGATTGAGACCTGGGTACAAATGCTACCTGTGATAAACACAATTATGGCAGACAAGAGTTGTAAGATGATTGTATGTTGTAGATTGCAAGTTTATAAAGATGAGAAGTTTGTAATGTTATCCCCTTTGGTACACTGCGAATGTAACTTAATATCCGATGAATTATGTCTTACAGAAAACGAAAAAACAAAAATAGCATATAAGTATATTGGTACAAAAAGTAAGAATCTTAATGAAATTGCTAGGCATTGTGAATTCTTCCCTCTTTTATGTTATCTTTATCATGAAAAAAAAGGTACAGATGTCAAAGAATTTTTCAGAATTCCTTTTGATGTCTATAAAAAAGAGTTGGACAATTTAGGCAGACATGGAGATGAAGGAAAACATAAAATTTGCAGTCTTGCTTTATGTATTTTATTTAATAATCGACTATTAGAGAAATGGTTCCAGGGTAAAGTTACTGATGAACAACGACATATCATAGAAGACACATGTGAGGCTTGTAAATTGAACAGAAGTACATCCAAGGCAGAACTTAAAGTGGCACTTGACTCTTTAGATGGTACATTTATATGTAAAGAGAATGGAATTTATAGTATCATACATGATAAACTGTTTGACTTCATTGCTTATTTCTTTGGTCAGAAAATGATTGAATGTTTGATAGAACATGGTGATAGTTGTTTTGTAAATGAACGTTTTCTTTGGATCAAATCACCAGATGACAAAATGAAAACAATAGACTTCATTATTGAAATACAAGATCAATATTTAGATAAATATTTGAAAAGGTTGATAGAGAACTGGTTAGCAGGAATGGTAGCATTAGTATTTAGTAGCACTAATATGAAAGCATTATCATTCAGACAACAGTTATTACAGTATTTAATACGACTGGACAAAGTACAACAAATAACATTGGCTAATACCAAAGATGCAGTGATATCAAATGAGGAATGTGGATCAGGTACTACTCCTCTAATATTGACTTGTCGTGATGGGTATACAGATATGATACAGTGGTTGTTAGATAATGAAGTGGATGTTGATTATTATAAAGATGACAGGGTCACTGCCCTGAACATGGCATGTTGTAAAGGTTATTCTGCTATTGTGAGTATGTTATTAGAGAAGAATCCTAATGTTGATCTATGTGAAAAAAGCGGCTGTAGTCCTTTGTTAATATCAAGTCAGAAAGGATATACTTATATAGTTAGGTTGCTGTTAAAGATGAATCCTAACGTAGATTTATGTAACAATAATGGCAGCAGTCCTCTGTTACTGGCAAGTCAGAAAGGACATACTGATATAGTAAGGTTGTTGTTGGAAAAGAATACTAATATTGTTCTATGCAATAATAATGGCAGAAATGCTCTACTTATGGCAAGTCAGAAGGGACATACTTCTATAGTAAGGCTGCTGTTAGAGAGGAATCCTGATGTTGATCTATGTACCAATCTGGGGGTCTCTGCACTTACCAAGGTTTGCTATAAAGGGTATACTCCAATTGTTAAAATGTTATTAGACAAGAATATTAATGTTGATTTATTTGACAATAAAGGCTATAGTCCACTCTACATGGCCAGTCAAGGAGGACATGCCGATATAGTAAGGTTGCTTTTAGAGAGGGAACCTAATATTGATTTATGTAGCAAAAATTCCTGTAGTTCTCTGTTGACTGCAAGTCAGAATGGTCATACTGATATAGTGAGGTTTTTTTTAGAGAGGAGACCTAATGTTGATCTATGCAACCATAATAGGCATAGTCCCCTGTACATGGCATGTCAGAATGGGCATACTGATATAGTAAAGTTGCTGTTAGAGAGAAACCCTAAAGTTGATCTATGTAACATACATGGGGTCACTGCACTTAACAGGGCAAGTTATAAAGGGTATACAATTATTGTGACCACGTTATTACACAAAAATCCTAATATTGATTTATGTGATAAAAATGGCTGTAGTCCTTTGTACATGGCAAGTCAAGAAGGACATACTGATGTAGTAAGGTTGCTTTTAGAAAGGAACCCTAATGTGGATCTCTATGATAAAGATGGATGTAGTCCTCTGTACATAGCAAGTCGGCATAGCCATACTGATATAGTGAGGTTGCTGTTAGTGAGGAATGCTAGTGTTGATCTATGTACCAACGACAGCTGTAGTCCTCTGTACATTGCAAGTATGAATGGGCATACTGATATAGTAAAATTGCTGTTAGAGAGAAATGCTAATGATGATTTATGTAACATTATTTACTGTAGTCCTCTCTTAGTTGCAAGTCAGAAGGGACATACTGACATAGTGAGGCTGCTCTTGGTGAGAAATCCTTATATTGATCTGTGTAGCAAACAAGGGGTCACTGCACTCAGTTTTGCATGTGAGGGAGGGTATCCTGACATTGTGAACATGTTATTAGAGAAGAATGCGAACATTGATCTATGCGACACAAATGACAGTAGTCCATTGTTCAAAGCAAGTATAAATGGACATACTGATATAGTAAGGCTGCTGTTACAAAGGAATCCTTGTGTTGATCTATGTGACCTTAACGGTTTAAGTCCTTTATTAGCAGCTAGTATGAAAGGACATATTGATATAGTTCGGTTGCTATTACAAAAGAACCATAAAGTTGATGTATGTTGCATTCAAGGATTTAGTCCTCTGCTCGTAGCAACCATGGAAGGACATACTGACATAGTAAGGTTGCTTTTACAAAAGAACCCTTGTGTCGATCAATGTAGCATTTATGGTATAAGTCCTTTGTTCGTAGCATGTGATAATGGGCATTATGATATAGTACATATGTTGTTAGCTAGGAATCCTAACATTAATATATGTGTCAATATTGACTATAGTCTTTTTCGCACAGTTAGGCAAAATGTAAATAAAACTTTTGGAGAGTCTCTGTCAGAACTGATCCTTGATCCATGTTACTTTGAAAATGGAACTTGTCCTCTGTATGTAGCTAGTCGTGCAGGGCATACTGAAATAGTTAGATTGCTATTAAAGAATTGTCCCAACATTAATTTATGTGACAAAGATGGCTGTAGTCCTCTGTACGTTGCAATTCGGAATGGACATACTGATATAGTAAGGTTGCTGTTAAAAAAGAACGCTAATATTGATTTATGTAACACAGATGGGGCTACCGCACTGATCCTTGCATGTTATCAAGGGAATATTTCTTTTGTGAGTATGTTATTAGAGAAGAATCCTAACGTTAATCTATGTGCCAAATGCTGTAGTCCTTTGTACATTGCAATTCGGATTGGTCATACTGATTAAGTTAGGTTACTGTTAAAGAAGAACGTTAATGTTGATCTATGTGACACAGGTGGGGCCACTGCACTGTTCATTGCATGTTTTCAAGGGAATACGTCTTTTGTGAGTATGTTATTGGAGAAGAACGCTAATATTGATGTATGCACCAAAAATGGAAGTAGTCCTCTGTACGTAGCAAGTCAAGAAGGCCACGCTAATGTTGTAAGATTGCTCTTAGAAAGAAAACCTAATATTAATCTTTGTAACATAGATAAGGTCAGTGCACTAGCCATTGCAAGTTATTATGGGTATTTAACTGTCGTGAGCATGCTATTAGAGAAGAATCCTTATGTAAATTTTTGTGATAAAAATGGGTGTAGTCCTCTGTTCATGGCAAGTGCAAACGGACATACTGGTGTAGTGAGATTGCTTTTAGAGAGGAACCCAAATGTTAATCTTTGTAATAGAGAACACTGTAGTCCTCTGTGGATTGCAATTGCAAAAGGACATACTGATATAGTAAGGTTACTATTAGAGAGGAAATCTAATGTTGATCTATGTAACATCAATGGCTGCAGTCCATTGTATTTGGTAAGTGTGAAAGGACAAACTGGTATACTAAGGCTACTGTTAGAGAAAAGTCCTAACATAGATCTGTGTGATATAGATGGGAATAGTCCTCAGATAATGGCAAGTCGGACTGGGCATACTAGTATAGTAAGGTTACTGTTAGAGGGGAATGCTAATATTAACTTATGTGACACTCATGGCAGAAGTCCTCGGATAATGGCAAGTTGGTTTGGGCATACTGATGTAGTAAGGTTACTGTTAGAGTGGAATGCTAATGTTGATCTATCTAACGCTGATGGTATTAGTCCTCTGTTAATGGCAATTATGATTGGATACACTGATACAGCGAGGTTGCTGTTAGAGAATGATCCTAACGTTGATCAATGTGACAATACTGGCTGTAGTCCTTTATTAATGGCAATTCAAAACGAACATGCTGATATAGTAAAGTTGCTATTACAGAAGAACCCTAACATTAATCTATGTAGAGATGATGGCTTTACACCGCTGATCACATCATGCGCCACCAACAACACCAGTATAGTACAGCTATTGATTCAACATAACCCGAAACCGAACATTAATGCCCAGACAAATGATGGTGGTAATGCTTTATATTTCAGTTCAATTAATGGAAATGTAGAAATAACTCGGTTACTTTTAGAGAACAATGCTAACTGTAATAGTTGTATCCATGGGAAACATTATATAACCGATATATTAAGTAACCATCCAACGATAACATTAGACCAAGTAAAAAAAAATTGTTTTGATTGTCTTGCAAATAATGGGTCATCAGATATAAAAGATTATGTCAGTAGGAAGTCAGCAGATTATTCCTTTGATGTAGAAGCTGGGTCTTCTCCATTGCACATTGCCTGTTTTATTGGTAGGAAAGATGTAGTCAGTTGTCTTCTGGATCACCATGCTAACATCAATTTGAAAAAAGAAGATGGCACCACACCATTGTTTTATGCATGTGAAGTAGGACATGATGATATTGTACGATTATTGTTAGGCAAAGGAGCAGATACAGGCATATGTAAAATTGATGGGAAATTCCCTTTGACCATTGCAATTGATAATGGACATAGATCTGTGATAGATATGATGAAAGCACACATTCTATATCATATGCTTTTGGTATTGATGGGTCATGTTTGATTTCAATCGTTCAGTCCTAATGTACATTTTTCAATTTTGTACTGGTACTAGATTATGAACCTAGCTACCTGAAATTTGTGTCATGGCTTTATCAGTTTAAATAAAAAAATCAGAAAGATATTGATTGAGGGATTGAAGATGACAATGCTAAGATTACAAAACAAACAACAAAAAAGTCGGTTGAATTCTACAAAAATAAAGTACTATTAAGTTTTTGATTATTTCTTGAGTATATTAGTCTTATTTGTTTCCTATATGAATTATGTACTTTGAATACATAACCTTCCTGGAGAAAAAAGATAATCATTGATTTCCAACAGAGTGATTAAATTCAACAGGGACAATTGATGATCAATGCCAAATGGAAAAAACAATATTAAGACAATGATAACTGGATATCACAATCAATTATAGAAAGAACAAAAGTAGCAAAATATCAACAGAAGATATGATGGCATGATCAATTCAAAAACTATAAGAAAGTGGCAATTGAAGATCGACCGAAACAAAATGGAGAAAAACTAACATAGTATAAATGGAAGATCTGACATCATAATCGGTTTGACTAATAGTAAGAAGGTGATTACCAGATGTCTAACATTGATAAAAAGCAAAACAACAAAAAGTAACAACAAAAAAACCGTAATAGAAGTTGCAATTGAATATCTGACATCTACAAAAGATCGAAAAAGAAAAAAAGAAAAAAAGTGAAAGCAAAGGTCTGACATAAACACAGGATGAGTAAATAATATAGTAGATACAACTCAAATAGAAATAGATAATTAAAAAGTAATGAAAAAACCCCGATGTTTTGGAATCAAAACCAATGACAAAGGTGGTAAGAGATGAACGAAGATCTTTAATGACAGAATGGAGAAACACAAATGTAATGAGGCAAAACCAGGAGATCTGACATCCCCAACAATATATATGAAATCATAAAAAAGCACAAAGGTAACGAAGTTACTACAGAAGTTCTTACTTTAATAGATAAACAAAAAACCCTGAAAGGTAAAAAAAAATACAAGAAACACTTTGACAACTAAAAAAGCTAAAAAGCTTAAAGACATGAAATGGATTGAAATTGGACCTTCAAACGCAAGTTAATTTAGATTTTCATCATTTAGGCATAAACAGTTCCAAAATTAGTGTTGTTGGTTGTTTACAGCTGTTAATTTGTTGACGTAATTTTTTCTTACATTTCTTAACATTGACCCGATCATTTTCTGTCAATTACGTTCCAAGATAGCTAAAGACTCCTAATCAACCTTATTGACACAAACAACAGCTCAATTTGATTGATACATGCAAATAGCTTCAGAAAAGCTAAATATTCCATGTGTAATTTTGTCCTTTCTGTATAAAAAAAACTCTATGTATTGCCTTGTGTCAATATCACTGTAATGGTGTATACATTGAGTATACAATATCCGAATTACTAGAAAACAGATGAAACCATAAACATAATAAACACACAAATGAATCAACATGCTATCCCAGTAGTTATCTTTATGTAAAGGTGTGAATATCTGTGATCACTTCATCAAGGAATTATAGTTGTTATTTGTTTCTTTAATAATCTTACCCAAAATCAAAACATTAGCAAGTTAAAGAAATTTTGATAATATCATCCTAAAATTACTACTTTGTTTGACATCATTTCAATGTGTACTTTTCAAAACCTCCTCGAAACAAACGTCTCCCCAACATCGATAGCCCCTAAATGCAAAACATACTTCAGTGAAGGAGCAAACTATAGGTAGAAAGTATTTTGAATAGAAGTTAGAAAACATTTTATATGACTTTCAATGAAAAAATGTAATATTATGTAGCATTGTAGTTAGATTGTTCGTATATTTTGTTACAGAATGTGCTTATCATATTTAAGAAAAAGTTAGGTTCATGTGCTACAGTGTGATGTTTTTGTTCAATAATCATGTATTTTTTTTTTATCTAAAATGAAATAAATTAAAAATATTTTATACCCATTTTAGCACTTTTACTACAACTATCTTGCAAACTTTCATTGATGGACAGGATCTTTAGATTATCAGCAGTTTTTGACACATTTTAGAATGTTAGCTTTTCATATTGAAATTATGATAGGTAGGCAAAATCTGTAATCCACAAAACCAATTAACAAAACACTGCAAAAATGCCAATATAATGAAACTTCAAACAACTCCGTATGAGAGTTGTTGTCCTTGAATACAGAATTTTCACCGTTTCAGAGTTTCTGTCCATGAAGCATGTTTAAATCAGTGTGATTTGGTTCTATTAAACAGCCATAAGGGGTTCACCATATTCTCTTGACATGTTGTTTTCAGCATATTCTTTTTGACATGTTATGTTATTTGTGATATTTTGATGTAATCTTATTTTATCATTTACCTCCTCAACAGTGTTTGTAAATTTTATCTAATCACTATAGCGCTATAGATTCATTGGGAAAAATATCTTTATGACACTTTATGTCTACTTACTGTCAGTGACTGATTATGTAGATATAGTCTAATGTTCAATAGCTGTCAATGTATTTGTATATACATATATATCATGTATATAATGTAGTCTTATTTGTAATACTATTGTGTTTTTATTGAAAAAATATTTTTCTGTGACCTAACATTGAATCACTGCCTTTTGTCTTGTAAAGATATTTCGATGTACCCTAATGTTTAATGATTGACACTATGTGTGTAAAGAAATATATTATTTTGGTTTTATAATGACTGTCGGTATCATTGTGTATATATAGACAGATGATTTTAATGTAACCTTAGGTTTGATAATTTTCAATGTGTTTCTACATGTAGAAACATAGATTTTGATGTTAACTTATTTTCAACTACTATCACTTTGTTTATATTGAAACATATAATTTACTATAACTTTTAATATCTCTATCTGAGTTGACAAAAGGCGATATTTTCAATCCATCTGAGTGTGGCTAATGGCATTATTTTTATATAAAGACATCTTGTTATTTAAACCTTGTCGATTGTCATAGTATTTGTAAACTCCAGTATTTATTTGCACCAGTGTAAATAGCTGTCATTGTGTAACACATGTACAAACAAATATTTTGCTCAAACTTTCAGTTTAATTACTGCAATAGTTTTTGAATAGAGTAAAACTTACAGTTATCATAACATTTAAAGACTGTTCCCATGTTTTTATATTGATATACTTGTTCTTTAGTTATAGGAGTAAAATTGGCTAAATATATATTTTTGCTTTAATGCTTCAAACCATTTGAAAATAATAATCGTTTGACTCATAGATTAAAGACCCCATTAAAGATGTTCCACATGGCTTGCATATTCATTATTCTACGTAGGTGAATTAATTCTTTGGCATCCCAACATCATGCAAGGCACCGATCATTTATCTTTTGTATGAGGTCATGTGTTATTTTCTCAATGGGAGATTCAATGTCATATTTTTTTTCTTGCAAATTTTCAAATGCTAAAAGAACATGCTCCTACCCACCCATCCCCCTTTACAAAAGATTGACGGCCGGCCTAATCCATTGTGTATATTGATTCTTAATGTTTCCTTTAAAAAAATTAGATTTTGCAATTGCTACTTATCATTCGTATTTTTATTTACAGTTTAAAAAAGCATGCCTTTACACTAAATGTACTTTTTGTTAAGGTTTCTGTTTTATGTATATTGTGTAATGCTTTGAAATGCACAAGTTTTAAAATCTTTAATTTCCTGAAACATTTTTCTTTTATCCTCAAAATAAAATATAAAGCAGTAAGACATTTTAGAGTATGTTTAGAAAGAATGCATTAAATCTTCATGTTGAAATTTCTTATAGATTTATAGTATTTCTCAACATATAGTACTTTGAAATGTCTAGATTTTGAAATGTAGTTATTTTTTTCAGACAGAAACAACTGATACCACTTGAATTCAGAATTTTTCATTCATCATTAGCTATCATTTAGTATTTTTCCTTACTTTGTGAGGATTTTCTGTGAGGTTTTGTATTATGATTTTAGCTAGGGAGTTTTTTTTTACCAAAAGTATAATATGTGTATGGTAAATCTTGTTTTTTTAATACAATTGTACATATAATATGTGTATGGCGAGTCTTGTTTTTAATACCATTGTACATATACTATGTGTATGGTGAATCTTGTTTTTACATACAATTGTACATATAATATGTGTATGGTGAATCTTGTTTTTAAGACGACTGTACATTTAATAAGTGTATGGTAAATCTTGTTTTAAGACGATTGTACATATTATATGTGTATTGTGAATCTTGTTTTTAATACCATTGTACATTTGTACTGTTACTGCAATCAATGCCATGAAACAAGCAGTTTGGTTGTGAATGCGAAATGTTCAACATGTAAAATTATGAAGTGATAGTATTGTTAGTGCATGAATATTATGGCCATTATTTTATGTCAAAGCTCTAACTTTAACTATGAGTTTAAAATGCTTCTTTGTGATTATTTTGTATTATTACAGATGTAATGCAAGTCTGATATGACTGAGTTGAGTTATTATGCACGAGACAAATATTGGTTTATTAGGTTTGAGAGTTCTTGATGGAAGTAAATCCAGATATGCACTTCGGATGCACCAACTTTATAAAATACACATAACAATGTAAATATCAAAATATTCAGTGAAAAGAAACAATTGTTTGTATTGTACATATCATGTTATATCAATTATAATACCATTATTGTTTGTGTATAAATCTAATTTCAGTACAATTTTAAGTTTCTTTTTTTATCGGTATACATGGCAACAAATCCTTGAGCCATCCATTAAATTTCATAGAATTGAGATGAACTATACCGATAGCTGATTAACAATTTCAAATCTAATTTCTTGAAGATCGTGTAATCAATTGGACAAGTACTTCCAATGCTTTTTTGTTCACTTCCCTAGAATGACCCTCTGTCGTTTGGTATTTGTCAAAGTTAAAAATAAAATCTTCTCTAATCTATTTTATGGTATTCATAACTTTGCACTCAACTTGGTGTACCTTTACTAAAAATCAGAAAAATAAGTTGAATTGTTTTCTGCTTAGATATAGAAGAATGAAAATTGTTTTAAAAAATGTGTATTCATATAGAATGCATTGAAAATTGATAAAGGAAATGTTCAATTAATAAAATAAAAAAATAATTATATTTTTTATCTAGTAAACAAAATTCATATATTCTAATATATTATTTGAATGGGTATTTATGTAAATAATGAGGGTTTTTTTTTTTCAATTGGACAAACGCAAACTTTAGCAAATGATATAATCATATAAATGTGAATTATTTTGTAAAAATGTTTCTCATAAGCCAACTCAAAGGCTGGGTATTGATTGTTTTAGAGCTAATTTCCTAATGCTTGTAGGTTAAGACTTTGGTTTGCTTGATTGCTTTGTTTGCCTAAACGTTTTCTCAAGCATTGTAATTAAGTTTAACATCTGCAAACAATCTACAATGTAAGTAGGCGTATTTAAACCCTTATATAGTTAAATTTGATAATTTGATAATGTCAAATTAAATCTGAATATAATAGATATAAGAAGATGTGGTATGAGTGCCAATGAGACAACTCTCCATCCAAGTCACAATTTGTAAAAGTAAACCATTATAGGTCAAAGTACGGCCTCCAACAAGGAGCCTTGGCTCACACCGAACAGCAAGCTATAAAGGGCACAAAAAATGACTAGTGTAAAACCATTCAAACAGGAAAACCAACGGTTTAATCTATATATAAAACGAGAAACGAGAAACACTTATGAACCACATTAACAAACGACAACCACTGAACATACATATTAACTCTGCTTATTTATATTTTTGCAGATGCTTAATTACAATTCCTGAGCAAACGTTTATTCAAACAAAGCAAGCAAGCAAGCCAACCAAAGTTTTAATCTGGATGCATTAGGAAATTAGCTCTACTGTATATTTTATCATGTTTTGTATAATGTACTATCAATGTGTGACTCAACAATTAAATAGAATTTATTTATCACTTATCTATTTATAATCTTTAAATCCTTATTTCTCTAAAACCTTTCTTTAAGCCATGAATAAAACGTATAAGAGAAATAACGAACTCCGAGTTAAATTTAAGAAGGGGAAGTCCATAAAAACTGACAAAATCAAACTTTAGACTTTTTCAAAATATAAAACAACTGTCTTATTCCTGACTTGGTACAGACATTTTCCGAGGAACACGGTGTGTTAAACCTGGTTTTATAGCTAGCTAAACATCCCACATGTATGGCAGTTTGACAGTTCTATTATATTGAAAAAATGGGTGAGCAACCCTATATACCTGCATTTTGAAAATAAAGCGGAATTTTAGATGTGTCTTCTTTGTGATGGAGAACGTTGCTGATGTTGAAAGCATGTTGTTAATTTGAAAAACTGAATTGGAAAGAATTTCCTACTTTCATCGTGTAATGGTTCTGATCTTACTGGTTTAAATAGACGGAAAAGAACTATTTCACAAATTACACGTAAATGCCTTTACATTGGGAAAGCATATTATGCATGTACATCATGTGTCAAGTGCATGAGCCCTTAAACATTTTATAATGTTTACAGGCAGTGGAAAAAGAATGATGGGATAGGTGAGAATGTATTTTAATGTGAACCAAGTGGATAAAGGAGATACAAAAGAAGGTTATCAAAACTCCCATTATGTGATTTTGATAACGAAGACTTTTTTTCACATTTGAACGAGGGTAATACCATGAATACGCTTGGATCTTAAGCTATTGTTGAATAAACTCATTACATCTACATCACTGCAGGCTGAACTTGAAAAACTTCCGTATGACACTGCAGTACCTAAATTACCGATGCGAAATTTTCTCTCTCTTTTCGGAAAGGCGTATAGGGATATTAGTATAGTAGTAAATTTTGTCACTGATTCGTACTTTCACGGATAAAGAAGGATCATGGTTCGGTTGATTAAAATGGTTATGAAGAATCGTGAATAGCGGATTTTTGTTAGCAGGCTGGCGTTGGAAAAATACTCAAGCATTGGACTAAAGATAAACGGAATCACAGGATAACAACGGCATATCCAATAGTGAGTGTCCAACAAGGAACATGGCAAAACATTTGTGTGTAGTGTTCAAAACCTATAAGTTATAGAAAAATAAAAAAGGCGAAAGATACCAAGGGGACATTCAAAACTCATGAGTCAAAGATAAATTGACCACGCAATGGCAAAAAAAAACAAAAAAAAAACAATGATAAGTCAAACCGCACTACATAAAAAACTAGAGTATGAGCAACACGAACTCTACCAAAAGCTGGGGTGATCCAAGGTGCTCCGGAAAGGTAAGCAGCTCCTGGTCTACTAGTGGTATCCGTCATGTTACTCATGGTAACTATCTAAATTCGGTGATGTCACAATGTAGAAAAGTGGACAGTATTCGAGTAACAGATTTATCAAACTTATGTTTAATCAATGAACCATGAAAATGAGGTCATGGTGAGATGAACCCTGCCAGACAGACATGTACACCATACAATAATTCCTGACACCAAATATAGTTGACCTATTGCACATAATATAAGAAAACAGACCAAAACAAAAACTAAACACTGACCAATAAACCCTGAAACTGAGGTCAAGGTCAGATGAAACCTGTCAGACTGACATGTACACCTCAGTCATTCCATACGCCAAATATAGATGACCTACTGCTTTAAGAATCCGAGGAACAGACCTAATCATGGAACTTTACCCATGATCACTGATCCATTAAATGAGGTCGAGGTCAGGTGAAACATGTCTGGCGGACACCTTGCAAGCAACATATATACCAAATATAGTGATCCTATTACTCATAATAACTGTGAAATTCACATAAGAAAAAAACTTAACTTTTTTTCAAGCAGTCACTGAACCATGAAAATGAGGTCAAAGACAACAGACATATGACAGACGGAAACTCTGTAACATAAGGCATCTCTGTATACAAGGTATGAAGCCTCCAGGACACCCTCTGAAATATAAAGCTTTATACAGATAGTCTACGACGCCGCCAGATTGTAATCATCATCTCGCATTCTGCGACTTTTGTCGAAGGCGAGACAAAAACGGAATGCCCTTTAAGGGACCACATTGACTTATTGATTCACCAGATGACTCTTCAACAAGAGTGCACATGCTGAAATGTCTCGTCTGCTTTACTGACTATTGATTTTATGTTGATAATCATAAGTATAAAGTTTCACTAAAAGTAGTACATTAACTTAACATGATCCAAGAAAGTAAGAGCAAGGTCAGATAAACCAAGCCGGAAATACATGTACACCTTACAATCATTTCATACATCGAATATAGTTGACCTATTGCTTGTAGTATACAAGTAACAGACCAAACCATGAAAACTTCATATTGACAAATGAACCATGAAAATGAGGTGAAAGTCAGATGATTCCTGCCAGACAGACATGTACAGCTTACTACCATTCCATGTATTATACTAGAAGTATCCAAGAAACAAACTTAGCCAGGAAATCTTAACATTGACCAATGACCATGAAAATGAGGTCAAGGTCAGATGATACCAGTCAGACAGGCATATAAACCTAGCAATCATTCCATACACGAATTATAGTTGACCTATTGCTTAGTTTAAGAAAAAAAAAACAGACCAAAAACACAAAAATTTAACATTGAGCAATGAGCAGTGAACCATGAAAATGAGGTCAAGGTCAAATAAAATCTGCAAGACGGACATGTACGTCGTAAAATATTTAAATACACCAAATAAAGTGACCCATTACATACAGTATTAGAAAAACAGATCAAAACACAAACACTTAACTTTAACCACTGAACCATGAAAATGAGGTCAAGGTCAGATGACACCTGCCAGTTGGACATGTACACGTTACAATCATTCCATACAACAAATATAGTAGACCTATAGCTTATAGTATCTGGGATATGGACTTGACAACGAAAACTTAACCTTGTTCACTGATCCATGAAATGAGGTCGAGGTCAAGTGAAAACTGTCTGACAAACATGAGGACTTTACAAGGTATGCACATACTCAATATAATTATCGTTTTACTCATAATAAGAGAGAAATCAACATTACAAATAAAATTCTTTTTTTTTAAGTAGTCACTGAACCATGAAAATGAGGCCAAGAACAATGGACATATGACAGACGGAAACTTCATAACATAAGGCATCTATATACAAAGTATGGATCATCCAGGTCTTCTACCTTCTGAAATATTAAGCTTTGAAGTAGTTAGTTAGCGCCACTGCCACAGGATCACAATCCCTATGACAGAAGTAGCAGGCTTGACAAAAAATGACAAATATAATACCAGCAATTCTTTTATAATACAACTTAAAGTTTATAAAGTTGTGCAACTGGATCATAAAGTGTTACCCATATCAGTGATTCCATACTGAAATTTAACAGTAGTCCGTCATTTATATTCATTCTGGCTGCAAATATTGATCTGAATTTTGATACACGAGTGATGACCAACTGTGGGTTTGTGCATCGTTCTGGTAGAATTACTGTTGGTCGAATTACGAGCATTGGACTTTTAATACAATTGTACTTGTCTAAACTTTTATTTTTGTAATGCCTGCAGATAATGAAGTGGATTTTTTGATCCAGATGACAAGATTTTACGTGGACTTTTTTTAAACGGGTCACAGATGAGGACATTCCTGTCATACCAAAACAAATAGTTGTAGGTTCTTTTGAATACTTAGTGCAAGTCCATTGACCAGATTAAAAGGGAGTTGAGTTCTCAAAAAAACATACATTTACCATACATATTCATGTGCCCATCCCAAGTCAGGAATTTTGTCACTGCAAGGTTGTTTCATGTCACTTCTTTGATAGTTTCTATCAAACTAATTGGTAAAGGCACTTTTACATTCAAATTCCAGTAAAATTGTCAACTTTTAGATTTTAACCCTGTGAGTAAAACTAATATTTAGAGTTAATTGGCCCTACAGTACCTCATTAATAACAGAACCAATCTGTTTTACTTTTTCTTGTTTCACTTCTCATCCTGTTTTCAGGGAAATTTACATATGACGATTTTGGCTATAGTTTTTTTTTCAAATTTCTAGGTTTTTTTATTAGATTTTAATGCCCAAGTTTGCTCTTTCTTTTGGCTTTATTTTTGTCCAAGGGCTAAGATGTTGAAGGTTATTCAAAAATTTCATTCATATTTTCTGAACTTTGGAGTTGTTCCTTAAATACTTTTTAAGATTCTTACCTCACATACACTTTTTTTTCTATTGATAGTGCTACTAATGAGTACATTATTTGAGTTTCTGAAGAAGTGGCTGTTGTATCTATTGTACCCTTATTTTTGACATTTTTACCTATTATGTCTGTCTGTTTTAATGACACATTGTTATCAATACAATGGAATTTTATGCGACTGTCATACAAATGAGAGGTTTAGTTGCCTATAAAACCAGGTTTAATCCACCATTTCCTACATAAAACAAGCATTCTGAGAGTATTGCATGGCAATACATAGTCCCCTACCGGGTAAAAATTCATTATACTGGAACAAAATGCTAACTTGTTCTATAACTTGTCATGGTGTAAACAAAGAGTAAATATCATGTCAATATCTTCAAGCATGACTAAAAACAGTGTGGAAAACTGATTATATGAATGAATTTTTCAAGTCCAAGGACCATAACTCTGCACAAAATTATTAGACCGAAACCAAAATTTGAACTTGATCTGTAACTTGTCTTGATAAAACTATATACCAATTATCAATCAATATCTTAGAAACAAGATGAAATAAATGTGGATAGTGTCCACATGTGGACACAGATGATGCCCCCGCTTGCATATCATATAGTTATAAAGGGACATAACTGAAGAACGGTAAAAGTGACGCTACCCAAATTTGAACTTGATCTGAGTTTTGTGGTACTAAGCATTGTGTGTAAGTCTCATAACATTTGGTTGAGGCTAACTTAAGTAGAGAACAGAAACTAAAAATTCAGCAATTTTTCTATTTGTAAACACACATAACTCTAGAACGGTTGTGTATAAGTTTTACAACATTTAGTTGAGACAAACTAAAAAATTCAGCAATTTTTATGTTTATAAAGGGACATAACTCTAGAATGGTAAAAGTGTTGCCACCTAATTTCGTACTTAACCTGTATTATGTAGTAATAAGCATTGTGTATAAGTTTCATAACATTTGGTTGAGGCAAACTCAAGTTAGAGAACTGAAACAAAAAAATTGTACTTGATCCTTACTGAGTTTTGTGGTAATGAATATTGTGTATAGGTTTCATAATGTTTGGCTGGGGAAAACTTCAGTTACAGAATGGAAACTAAAAAATTTTGCAATCTTTCTATTTATAAAGGGGCATAACTCAATAATGGTTAAAGTGACACTACCCAAATTCAACTTGTTATGTGTTTTATCAGTGGAAGTCATAATTAAACATTGCATTGTATAAAGCATTGATTGTAGTTGATTCAACTATAATCATGGTCAAAGGAAGATAACTCCAATTTTAAAAATATATTAAATAAACTTGATATTTAGAAGAAAATAAAAATTTTGCAATTTTTCCTTTTATAAAGGGGCATAACTCTAGATCGGTTAAAGTGACACCACCAAAATTCAAACTTGATCTGTGTTTTGTGGTAATAAGCATTGTGAATAAGTTTCATAACATTTGGTTGAGGCAAACTTAAGTCAGAGAACAGAAACTAAAAATTTTTCTTTCATTTGTCACAAACTAATATAGATTTGTAACTTATCTACAAATGTCATCAACTTTTATCTACACAATGTAGTGTATTGAAATATATACATTAATAAAAATAGATTATTATCTAATCAAAGGATTTCTCTTCATAATTTTTTTTTTATATATATAGCATTCAGAAAATTAGTTTATACTAAATAACAAACAAACCTGTCAAAAAATTCTTCACAATAATTTAACAAAGAATGTCTTTAAAAAAATGAGTTATCTCCCTTTGTACAAAAATATGGTTTAACATAGTACTCTAACATTAGATATGGCCCATAACTCTGAACTAAATCATCAGACAGGAACAAAATTCGAACTTGATCTATAACTTGTCATGATAAAACTATATACCAAATATCAAATCAATATCTTCAAGAACGAAGAAAAAAAGTGTGGAAAGCTGATTTGCCGGACTGACGCATGGACAGACGGACGGACAGACGGACGGAGTGCAAACCTAAAGTCCCCTTCGACTTCGTCGGTAGGGGACTAAAAAGCCTGTACCAAGTCAGGAATATGACAGTTGATTGATTGATTGATTGTTGGTTGCTTATCGTCCAGTGTATATGACAGTTGTTTTCCATTCTTTTGATGTGTTTGAACTTTTGATTTTGCAAATTGTTAAGGGACTTTCCTTTTTGAATTTTCCTTGGAGTTCGGTATTTTTGTTGTTTTACTTTTTGGTAAGATTCCAACGAATGTTTAGTGCTATTTATGTGGATAGAATGGTATGATAATATATACTGTTGGTAACAACACTGTTAGATCATAGGACTGGCACATTGTGTCTTATAGATATGAAAACTTTGATTAAATAACAATAGATAGTATGAAAAATTGTCTTTTTATTTCAACAAGAAATATTATTTCTACAGACAAATCCATTAGTTAAAATACATTACACCTGGACTAAAAATACCATTGATTAGATAGTTAACTATCTGGTTACATATCAGCACATGCATTTTAAAAGTGGATGTACTCCCTCATAAAGAAAGGTTGAATGAGATTCTGCTGTCCATTATTGTATGCAATATGATCTCTTTTGTTTGATTTAACTGAGTACATGAGGGTCTGGTTGGGGGTCCTTCATTTCTGTTATCATTAATTCTTTTAGGCCATTATTCTCTATTCTGTAAATCCCCACCCACACCCTCGTACATCTGTTTATCTAAATCACTGACAATATAAATGAATTAAAACTTATAGCGATGACAAGACCTTAGGACTTAAAACTGATCTTTCAATGGTATTTCTAAACATGGTGTATAAGTTCTACAGAATTGATTGAATTAAAAAATGTACAACAACATATATGAGATGGGTGATACAAATAATGGATCATGATTGCTGAGAATCCTGCAATCCAACACTTGGTTGTACTACCAATTTAACTATATAATGGGATGAATGACGAACAATAAAAGTTTAAAGCACAAAACATTATTACAGTTGTCTTTTATCCTCACTTGTGGACACAATAGGTTTATCAAAGCATTGATGAATTCATATTAGAATAATTCAATGAATCATTAGTTATATTCCTGGCAGAATTTAACAATACAACATGATTGGCTAAACCCATCTTGATAATCTAGTATATTTTCTATCTAAATAATAATGGAAAATTTCTTTTTCTAGTCATTAACCTCATTATCATTTGTTAGTAATCAAAAATGTTTTTTCACAAGTTTAGCTGCCCACTTGAGATAATGCTTCAAGAGATATCTTATTTCCCTATTATACATGATACATATGAATGTGATGCAAAATGAAAGATTATGAATAAAATATAAAACTTTGCCCATTTGAAACATCTAAAATCATACTTTCCAAGGACAGCCTATCTTGTAACATATACAAATTAGTTAGAACTATTACATTTTTTGAAAACAAGATTTTATGAATATTAACATAGACCTTGAAAAAATTTCTTTTGTCATAATTAAGAAATGAAAATCTATTAAATATCCAATGAAATGTTTCAGTGAAAACTGCATGTTATACACACACGTATACAGTAACAGGATATTTCAATGTACACAACAGTAAATCAGACAAAATGTCTGACATCACATGGTCGTATCACATGACCTATTCACTCCCTATCTTCTCTATCCCCTCTGTCTCCTCCTCCTCTGACCCTCTCCATCCTCTCTCGCCTTTCTCCGACCTCTGAGATGGTGTTTGGCGAGAAGCACAATTTGAAGATAAATGGTGCCTTACCAGCTGAAAAGAGAAAATGTAAATTTATATATTATAACATGGCTTACTGATATCATCAATGGTATCAACCAGAAAAACACATAAAACTAAAGCACATGTGGATTAAGATATTTCCACCTGTCCACCATTCTATCCATAAGTTTTGAAAATATGTTCATTTAGAAACATTTCACCTTGTATTCCCAAAAGGGGAATGAGTCACTGTATGTAAGTGTCCGAACGCTGCTCGTTTTAAAGGAAAATTAGGTCAGACTAGTGATATTATAGTTTTGCTAGATATTCTTGAAAGTATGGTTCAAGCATAGCTATGAAGGTTTTCATAAAATAAAACAAATATTTCTGAGGTAAAAGATAAAAATTTCCTGAAAATTGGTTAAAATAAGATCATGGCATTTTTGTTGTTGAAATTTACAAATTTTTATAAAATAATTAAAATTGTAAATATATATATATATATATATATATATAAGGGAACGACTGTTTTAGTTCTTATACATTCTTGGCTTTCAAATATTCGGCTTTGAGCTTTCCTGGTGAAGGCAAATCTAGAAAAACTATTCAGACTCATGAAATTATAGGTGTTATTTTCATTTTTTTTACAACATCCTAAACTTTCGATGTTTCATTTTAAAAGTATTCAAACCAATTATTTATACTGTGCTTTCATTATGTATTGAAAACAAGAACTATTCAGTATTTATATAGCATATTCTCTTTTTAAAGGTAAACCTACTTGAGTGTCTAGTTTGTATAATTGAGCGTATCAAACTTATTTGCTTACTTGTTTGTTGAAGCTGAATTCTTAACTATTGAAAATAAAGACTAGTTCTTCATGCATCCTTTTGTTGAATCTTTGATGATATTGTAGACTTATTTTAGAGTTTCTTTTTTTAATGAGTTATGCCTGTTGACCAAAGGTCAATCAGCACAAATACAGACAATCAACTCTTACTGTGACATAATAAGCATTGTGAAATTGGAAATGTACGGAAAATGCATGAATGAGTCGTCTATTGACTTAAAATGACAATTGTTCCTCTTTCAATAGGAGGTAACTAAAGTTAATATGCAGAAGTAATATGAGTAACGTTATAAATAGCAATTGAAAGAGAAAGTGAAAGTAAGTATATATGGAAGTAAACTATTAAAATAAAATAAAATAAAATAAAAATACAATGTTTTTGTTGTTGAAATGTTTGTTAAAATTATTCTGCCATCAAGTGTTAGCACTCTTGCACAGTGGAACGAATTATACAATAAATTATTGTCAGTTGTGTTCTGTGTAAACTTTGTGTTCAATTAAAATCTTCATTTCCAAATATAGACGACTTTTTAATAGCAATTCCATATCATTTTGACTGGCTTCCCTTGGCCAGAGGTACTACTCCCAATCGCGTCGGGAATGCTGTAAAGTGTTTGACCGCCGAAGGTATAGGGAAAATAAAATAAAATATCGCTAGTCTATGCTGAATGAAAATGCTGTGTTCCTTCATTAAACTATCGGAAATGGCTTGTGTTTAAATTTTAAAGGTAATATGGATATCATAATCCATCTACCAAACAAACAAGTTTTATTGTACTTTATACAAACTTAAGTAGATAAGGTGTAACTTACTTGGATTATCTATAGAAACATGGTTTGTCAAGATCAGAGCCTCAATAGCCCAGGCTTTACTTTCAAATTCACATAGACCAGTACAACTTCTTTCACCTGAAAAAATCAGTTAATAGTATATAAATCATCTATAGAAAAAAGATGCATTTACTAATTTTTATCAAGCCACAAAAATTAGTATGTACTTAAATAAATTCCAAAGTATATTTAATATAATAGAAAAACAAAGGATACAGGGTATCCATCAATGACACAAAATCAGTACATGCACAGCAAACACAAAAAGTAAAGGAACAGCGCATTAATTGCTGTTCTTTATCTCAAAGTCACATAAAACCACATAACTGTATGTTCTTCATCGTTTTGTACTTGTTTATACATGTGTTTTCTGCTTTTTTACAACACTGCCTCTAGGGAGTGTCTAAATGACAAATTAAGAACATGTTGTTTTTTGTTTTGTTGCTTTTTAGAAATTTATTAAATAATACATCCTCATTTTTTATAAGCAATCAATAAAATCATTTTAGTCATCTTTGGAAAACTCTTGTACTTACTTTTACTGGGAAAGATTTTTACTTTGGATGGTTTCTTTGCCCCACTTCTGTCAAACAACTAGAAAAAAATTATAAATATTATTAGTAAATACAATTAATATCACTAGTGTGAAATGACCACACAGTCCTGAACCATTAACTTTTATTCAAGTCTTATATGGTGTGCAATCTTTAGCGTTGTCTAAAAAAACGTTTCTTTGGTAATTTTGTTCCAAGAGGTCATCGGCTGGGTAAAATCTAGTAATGACCAGTAGCTCAATCATCATTAGAAAAAAGAGTCGACAGAAGTCTTCGCTAAAATGTCTCTTAGAGGTTTTTCATCCCAATTGTCCTTATTTCCAGTGGTAGTCAAAATTTTGTTTTTTACTCAACTCCCTTTATAATTATTTTTTTTGTATCTAATTTTTTCTATCTACTTTTCATTTTATATCATCATTTTTACATGCTTAGTGTCTCAATACTGTCTTTTTGTGCTAGTGAGGTTTAAAACTAAAATAATCATCCATCGATCACTCAAATGTCATCGAAATCCTCATCTTATCAAATGATCTGACCAAAAAATTACCAAGATCTTTATAAGATGTCAAAACTGGATGACTACTCAGAAATTCCAATACATGTATATAGCAATTTCAAGTTACCATTTATTTTAAAGCATTAAATAAATCTTTTTAAATTACAACATTGAACTGTTTAAAAAATATCTAAAGCATGACAGACAATGTTTTATAACCTGTTAATATGTTGTAGATCTTTTCTGAACATAATTTTGTGGCATCTTTCAAATCCTCATATGCCCATACCCTTGGTATCCATGTATATAACGGTGAAGCTTTTATAATACGTTCAAGATACAAAGTTCTGTGTTAATCAGACTTCAACAGAGCTTTGCGTCTAGGTACCAGTATTGTCACCGCATAGGCAATGCAGAATACTTTTGTTGAATTAGAATTGAAAGAGAAGTATATGAATAGTGACTGTTGTAATTCAAGTGTCTGAATTACAGGATTTTACACTAAATGCAATAACCAATTTATACTATTTCAAATATATATATGTAGGACTCAAATCTATGGCGGGTTCCAAATCTATGGCAGATTCCTAATCTATGGCAAATATGACGTTACAAACGCCAAACAAATCAAATCTATGGCAGTTTTTTGTTTTCTCCAAATCTATGGCAGATCTTTCCGGGAAAAAGAGTAACATATAACGTCACAATAAAATAACGCCATATTGCGTCGTCGCCGCCGCTAACGATGGCGGAACCCATAGATTTGAACACCATTTTATATACATTTTTTATTATATGTAGAATGTAAATCAAAAACAGATATTTAACACGGGGCTCACATATTTTTACAAACAAATACACAGGGAAACACTTTCCGCTTTCCCTCTAGAACAATTTGCCGATGGTGTGACCTTTTATTCAGAGGAGGGACAATATTTGCTGTATCGTCCGTATCCCGCGATGAAGAAAGGCACCGCTGTTTTAGTATTGGATATTTTAGGAAAGGAGTTATAGTAAATATGTTAGCGTCTATGGCTGGCAAAGTATATAAAGTGAGAGATGAAATTACAGGATATACCACTTTGACTTAAATCGTCATCAGTTAAAAAAGATTGATTAACGCTCAAATAAATATAATTGTGAAAAGTCAAACTGTTTAATTCTTTTTATAAAAAAACTGCTTTCTTGTTTGTTAAGGGACTTCCATTTTTACTAGTTGGTTTAATGAATGGGTTTAACAGGTACATTGCACAGATTAGAAAATACTTATTTTTATGGGGCACATCATTTCAATCCCGAAGTCTGTATTATGGTATATCACTGCTACACTTAGGACATTTTATGGTTGCCATCACGATTTGGTTGAACATTATGGAATGTTTATTTCACAAATGTTTATAGTCATGCTCACGTTGTCGTACATTTCGACCTGTTTAAGACAAGTCATTGATCGTATAGTTTCTGCCTTGATCTCCATTTGCACAAAATCTGCCATAGATTTGAAAACAACAAAAATCCGCCATAGATTAGGAAATAACAAAAACTTGCCATAGATTAGGATTTTAAAAAATCTGCCATAGATTTGGGATGGCATGACGTCATATTTACCATAGATTCGGAATCTGCCATAGGTCTGGAACCCACCATAGATTTGAGTCCTACATATATATATGGAAAACATTTAACTTCACCAGAGGGCAATTGACACCTTCCATTCTACTTAAACAAAATGAAGACATTCCGTAAAGCAAAGATTTAAGAAGTACTCTTTGATATCTCATTTCTACAATATTTTGCATAAAAGCAGGAAGGACATGATACCAAAGCTCTTCTGAATGGAATGTGTTTTCACTTTACCTCTAGGACTTCCTCTTCAGAATAATTAGGTGGGATGTTATACATGTAAAGCATTTCAGTCGGTGCTACAATACTTAAACAGTGTTAAGGAAATGTTTCGGATAATCAGTTATAGAAATGCATTTTATTCTGGCCACATAACACAAACTCTAGTTTCATGAAATATGCTGCTAAAACATAATGGATCTTTCTTATTTGTTTGGGCTATTCCATTAAAATGGACATGGGAGGGAAGGACTTCCAAAGTCCTCCCCACATACTTATATAAGTAATTTTGCACATATCAAATGGACATACCACCCTTAATGACCCACAACGTAATGGAATATCCCTTATAAAGCTTCAGTACTTTTTTACACAAAAGAATTCAATTCTGATATTAAGAAAATGACATTCCCATAACAATATTTGTGTTAGTAAAAAACAATTTAACCAATTAGTATAAACTCCCAAGTTTGGTACAAATTCTTATAATTTTTTTTCTAGCCTCTGTAAAAATTTTGAAGCATGAAAAGAAACTATTAATGTAGATAGCAACTCCAGTATATAAAAACAAATGTAAACAATCTTGACATGTACAGAATTAACAAATATACTTATAAGAATTTGTACCAGTTAATTAATATAAACGTATTTTGCTGTGCTCCAATCAAAAAGAATAACAAAAAGAACACAACATTAACTGATTTTTTGTTGTTGCAAAATTTACAAATAAAACTTTTGCAATGCAGCACAGCAAAATAGTAGTTTTTAAAGAAACGTGTCGCTCAATATGTTTAAAAACAATACCTCAGAAATTTCCTCCTCTGAAATGGTTGGTGGAGTATTGAAGAAATGAAGTATTTTGGACGACGCTACTATACTTGCACAGTTGTTAAGGAGAAAAATTTAAAGTTTAAAGTTTAGAATTCTAAGCTTTTCAGCAGAAAAAATAATTATATATGCCAAATTTTGTTAAACAGAAACTCATTTGCAAACAAAGCTCATTTTCTTGAATATTTAACAAAAACTTTTACCAAAGTATTTTTCAAAGACAAAAGATTTTCATAAATATTTACTTTTCTCTAATTACCTATTCTGGATTTCAATTCAATCCCAAATATATCAAATCCCCAAAAATGCAATGAGGGGATTTTTTTTACGTCTTTATTAATCATTTCACAATTTTGAAAACCAATTCATCAACCAAACTTTATAGCACTTGTTTTAAACTTGTATTTTTAGTTATGTTTATATTTTCAATGTTGTTGTCTTAAAATGCATAAAGTCATGATAGTAGTTGGACCGTTCAAAATACTTCATCATAGAGTGAGAGTGACATTCTTCGCCAAACATTTTTTCTTGTTTTTTTTCCAAATTGTCTTTTTAATTGTACACTTTACAGTAACTAATAGTAACAACAACTATCTATTTACTGCATCTTTAAACAGCAAAACAATGAAATGGAAGACATGTAAATTCCTTTCCAAAAACATAAACTAACAGAGATGAAGAAATCATTCTCACAATTTCACAATCAAAGGACACAAGAGACTTTCTTCTTACAGGAGCATTTTTGAATGGCAAATTTTAATATTTCCTGTATCCATGGCAACACAAATTAAAGGAACATACTGCAACACTTTCAGAAAAAGGATATGATTTTTGCTTGCAGCTTCAGGATTAGAGAATCTGTTGTTACGACTTCCCATAAAATCTTTAAATGAAGTGGTGCCATCTGGTAAATCATGTGGTTGGGCTACATCCTTAAGGAAAGCTTGTTTAGAATGTCTGAAAAGAAACATATACATGTACATTGCTTATGATTTGTGATTTTGTTGGGAATAACTTTCATCAAATCTATGTAAGGGGGGGGGGGGGGGGGGGGGTAAAGGGGGGTATTATCTGCATGATTTCAATTTCATGATGAATGAACAATTAAAAAATATCTTGCACGTTGATCTTTTTACCGATTTCACGAAACATGGTGAATAACGAACCTTTTTTCATGGCTGCACGTGAAATAATAAAAATGGCAAAACACGTTGCACAAAAATAACCCTTTACCACCCTCATCTATGAATGGGTCAATTCTACCACACACAAAAATTCCACTCTTCTACAATATAATTTCATTAAATGTCGTTCTTTATCTTATAATAAACTGCTTCGCCTAGCGCAGCTGGATACGATCACAGAGGTCCAACCCTGAACAGTTGGGGCAAAAATGGACACAATATTTATGCTTGATACAGGTCTGAATTTGGATTGTAATTAAATATTTGACACATTATAGGTTTCTGACACAGAATAAATGTAGTCAAAGAACTTAAAATTGGTTATATGATTTGAATTTATATTCAATTGAAGATTTCTTGCTTTTGTGCAATACACTGTGCTGTTGCGCAATACTTAGTAAATCTGTTTTCAGACTATATACAAAGAATAAGCAAAATAAATTGTGACCCCCAATTTTTCTTTGGAAAATTGACAATTTCTTAAATCTTGAGGAAAAAAAATTTACCCCCTAAACAATAATATTTTAAGAAATCTTTATAATTTCTTAAATCTTGAGGGAAAAAAAAAATGTTTGTCCCCTCCCCCCCTAATTGAAAAAAATTACATTTGAAGAAATTTTCTATTTGTAAAATGTGGTGCAATTTAAGAAAAATCAATACACTTAAACACAAGTTATTGCCTGAAAATAAAAAAAATGCTTGTTTTAGACCCTTTTTGGCCCCTAATTCCTGAAAGATTTGGGTAACTACCCCCAAAATGAATCCCAAACCTTCTACTTGTGGTATTGAACCTTGTGGTACAATTTCAGAGCAATCACAATACTTATACACAACTTATTGTCCTGAAACTAGAAAAATGCTTGTTTTGGGCCCCTTTTGGGTCTCCAATTCCTAAAAGGTTGGGACCATCACCCCCAAAAACAATCCCAACCTTCCTATTGTGGTATTGAACCTTTTGGTTAAATTTCAGAGATCCATACACATAAACTAAAGTTATTGTCCCGAAACCAAAGTCTTCGGATGACGACGACGATGACGTGATAGCATTATACGACCCCAAAATTTTTTTGTGGTCGTATAAAAAGTGATTAATAAATGTAAAAGCATTATATAGCTAAATAATTCACGAATCATTTGATTCATTTGAGTGTGGATTATAGGAACATTAATAATTCTATTGCAAAAGGTAAAAAAAAACTATAAAAAGCCAGGTGAAATAAGGTCAATAACCAGATAGAGATTCCAAGATTTGATAACTTATGACTTTGGGTGACTCCCCGAATAAATAATTTTTGGATCTTCTCATTCTTCTATCAACTCAATACTTACCCTAACTGTAGTTTGTTTCCAAAGAAGTATGTATTATTTAACATGTTCATACACCTATCAACTGCCAAGGCATCGCCCATCTGTACCATAGCAGCATTATCCTTGCTCTTCAAAAACTTAATCTAAATGAAAAGATTATAAACCATTTTATAATACTACAACCTATCAACTGCTAAGGTTTAACACAGTTTTACATTCATTATCACAGTTATAGTTGTTTTAAACAAAATTTAAAAGATAAGATTACATATTATTAGAGCTAATTTCCTAATGCTTGTAGTTTAAAGGTTTGGTTGGCTTGCTTGCTTGCTTTGTTCTATAAATGTTTGCTGAAGCATGGTTATTAAGATTGACATCTGCAATCAATAGAAAGGCAGGGCTTCAGCTTGTTTACATTATACCTTGCACTACTTAACAGCCAATAACATTTATAAGTATAATGTATACAAGCTCAAGCCCCGCCTATCTATTGATTGCAGATGTCAATCTTAATTACAATGCTTGATCAAACATTTATACAAACAAAGCAAGCAAGCCAACCAAACCTATAAACTACAAGCATTAGGAAAATAGCTTATCCTATCACCTTTTATTTTATTTTATACATCAGGGACCACCACAGGCTATTCAAAAGTGGTCACCACCCTTGGATTTCCAGCACTACTTCTGATTTTTTCAGTACCAACCTTTACTTTTGAGATGGTTTGAAAAACAATTCTAATTCAGATTACTTTTAAATGACTAAAGTTAAGTTTAAAATACATAAATATTAATATATATATATATATATAGGTAGAACTAATAGTATACTAAAGGTATAAAATTTACAAGTATTTTTCAACAGTTAAAAAGATTAATTTCTTTAAGCACCTCCCTTGTAAATTTATCAGTGGTGATCATAGACATGAACAGCAACACACTTTTCTTCTACATAATCGTTCACCACTTACCTAAACATACAACTGACTTGTATAATTGTCAAATCACACAGTTTATTAAAAATAATGTTTCCCTGGGGCCTAAATCCCACGCCTTGCAAAACTAACCTTATTAGCTGAAGACAGTACAACAGCAATAGCATAGTAGCAAATAGTCAATAGATTTAGCTGAGTTTTTGAATTCAATATTTGTAAAATTCTGAGAAGCCAGCCATCAGTGGGAAATGTTTAAATGACCGTTTTTACTATTTTTAATGAAGACCATGCAATAACTTCAGCTCTTTTTGCTTTTACCAAATATTTTTGAAATTGTCTCATATACTCTCTTTACACTTGTCCTGCCATATTTTACTATGAATACATACCCTAACTACATTGCCATAGAGACAGAAGAGATTAAATAGACGTTCACAGTTCATTTCATTGTCCAATCCATACACCATAATTACTGCTCCCTGGGAGAGTCCACTGGCTCCAGGGGGTCCATCACTATAACCTGATCTGTATCCACCTCTATCTCCCTGTAAAATATAATTTCTTGTTCATCAGCCATTATTTTCTTACAACCTCAAATACCAATGACACCTTAGGTATTTTAAAGTGGTGGAGTTTTGTAGGCATTTGTTGCAACTAAACTTGTTCTTCGCAGATTGGTAACATTTCCATGAGTCTCGAAGTTTGGAACACAATTTAGATTTGTAAACACACAATCATGTTGCTATTTCATAGAAATGATAGAACATCACCTTTCGTAATGTTGTAAAGCAAAAAGAATTTTGGAGTTCAAAAATGCATGCAAAACAATAAGTTTCATGTTGGAAAATGGATATTTTAAATTCAAGAAGGCATAAATAAATGTTAAAGTGCTCTAGATCTTTAATCTTTGATAAATTGCTGCAAATAACAAGATACACTATCAACTGAAAAATTGTCTCAAATCAGCAACATATCTCAGTTTACAATGACATGAGACCTGAAGAAAATGAGAATAGCCTACCTAAAATGATTTGGTTTTAGTAGAATTTGTGATCACAACCAATTTTTTGTGAGGTTTGTGCTGTCCAACTTTTTTGTTTTGTGGAATGTGATTTTTCTGTTCAACTTTTTTCTTTTTGAATATAATGAAAATTTTGAACACCAGATACAAGTATAGTTTAATGCTGTATCTATATAAGGAAGGATATAAGTTTTACCTAATCATGGAGATTTTTCTTTGCATTTTTGTACTTCTTGTGAAAGTCTTAAAAAAAATATTGATTGCAAAAATTACTCGGTTTATTACAGTATTCTCCAGTTTTAACACTTACCCTTCTATCTCCAGAACCATAGCTCCCTCTATCTCCGTATCCTCGGTCTCTTGGTGGATACCTGTCATCATATCCACCACTTCTTGGTGGTCCTGAATTATAACCTCCTCCATATCCATCACCCTCACCATACCCCCCTCCACCTCCATAACTGTTCTGGGGTGGTGGTGCACCATAGCCTCCTGAAGGAGGTGCTCCGTACCCTCCCTGTGGTTGTCCATAGCCTTGGCTCTGACCATATCCTCCCTGGCCTCCTCCGTACCCTCCTCCCTGTGGTGGTGGAGGGGGTCCATATCCTGATCCTGGAGGCTGTTGGTACCCCCCTTGGCCTTGTGAGTAACCTCCCTGAGGTGGTGGTGGTCCTGACCCTGCAGATTTAAAGTTGTAAATATAACAGTAAATTTTCATATACATTCAATTGTAAGGTTTTTCTTACCGTTTTGAACAAAAGGTGCACAACAATATAGTTAATAAATAAAGCCTTTTTCTTTCTGTAATAGCAGCAATTCTGAAATTTAAATTTATTTCACCAGGCTAGGGATTCTACCACAAAGCCCTCCAACTCTCAAGGAGGGCTATCATCATTGAGACCACTAAGGTGGTTGGATGATCAAAGGAGAAGCAGCTTTAAACAATGAAATAAATTTTAAGAAGGCACATAATACTTTTATAGGAATTATAACTCTTAGTAATAAATAGAGTTTTTTTTATTAGTATTGTGATATAAAAGTATCTTGTTATCATAGACTAAATTTTAGGTTGTTTTTGCAAATAGAAATTGTGTGTAATATCAATTGGTTTAATTTCAATAAACTTTTCAAGTTTTTATTCAGTACCAATATTTGTTCCTTAAAAACAAGTCAAAACGATCACGTTCATGCTCAGTGAACCCAAAATCAAAACTATAACCTATCACATTACCCCAGTCACCCTAGGGGTGCATAATTTTGCACAAAATTCAGTCGATTTTAACTTCAAAATACTGTATTTTTTTTTCAGATACAACCTTCGGCCACGTTGTGTATGTAATTACCATAAGAGGCTTGCTGACCTTGATATCTAGGATCTGGTAAAAGTGGGCGTCCTGCTCCTGGTGGTTCATTTCCTGTAGAAATAAAATTTCAAATTTTAAAATTCAACAAATATATCGGGTAAATATTTTACTTCTCAATTTTATGATCTATATATAATAAAGAATGTAAACCATAATCATCCATTTATCTAATTTCAAGATTTAGAATATAAAATCATTTCAATGTATTCTCTTCACTTGTATACATAAACATAACATTATGTATGGAAATCACTATTTAACATCAAATGCCAGAGTTCTTGAAATATTTTTTTCCTTAGTTGTCCTTCAAGAAAATTTGCAGGTCCTTTTTATTATTTCTATTGCAAAATATCAAAATTGTATCGGTCCTTTGTAAAAATTTTGGTAGTCAAAGCCTTCGACCACCACTTTTTCAGAACTCTGAAGTGTTGAACCAGAAGGTTAATTCTAAATGTTTTTTAAATTTGTCAAGTTTCTGAAGTTTTTGGTTTTTATAGGAGAGTCCAATTTAAAGTGCATTAAGTCACAAAATTAAATATTCAATTCTTCTAAGGTTTTTTAAATTGAATTGTACTACAAAGTTAATAATCTTGACTGTTTATATTTGAACGAGCCGATTTTTTAATTTATTATAACAGATTTTAACTGAACTGGGACTACAAGTGGATAATCTTTACTGTATATATTTGAAGGAGCCCATTTTCTAATTTTAAAAATTCCATTATTTTTCTTATATGATACCCATCTATCTGAAAACTCTCTAACTTTTTCTATGAGTTTGATAAAAATACAAGTTTAAGAGGTATTTTGATGTAGAATGTAAGAACGTGATACATTTTACAAAGTCTTCCTAAAAAGCTCCACTGATAGCAATCATAAACAATATATGTCAATAAAAAGACTGCAAATGTTTGTGTGATTGTATACATGTTTGTAACATTCTAATCTATAATATAATGCCTCAGTAGGATCTTGTACACCACTGATGACTCATCCACAATACAGCACTTGAAGAAGTCTGCATCCAAGTTGTTCCCATGGTGCTGTTAATAAATAACCAATCGAAACAATCAGTACATTATAAAGAGAGGTTTTTGTTTTTGTAACCCCTGTTTTGATTGGTCTGTTTGAATTTAATTTCCCATTGGGTGATTGTATGTTGTCTATGGTCTGTCTTTGTGGGATTAGGATGAAACTTCTGTAGAGATTTATTGTTTGCTTTCCAACCTTGATATTTTTTCGTTTTCTGATTTATAACCAGGTATTGTAGGTATATCCATTTATAGGTATCAAGCAATTAATTTGTTTCTTCTGGTGGTAAGAATATAAAGTCCATATATGTCACAGTTCATTTTGTATGAAATTTCAAGGTACAAATCCAGGTCTTGATTGGTCTGTTTGAGTCTTCATTGATTCTGCAAGTTTTAAAATGCTGTCTTGTCTATTTTAAGATTTTGATTTGTAAAACAATTGAAAAATCCATCATATTTATATTTCTGTGAGAGTAGGTTAATGACTGGAGTTATTTTGTATGTTGCAATACATGTATTTTTATTCTGGTTTCTGCAAAAGCATTTCGAGGAATTACGTAAGCTGTCATCTTTCAGGCTCCATCTCTTTGGCATCCACAAGTAGGCTATTAGTTCAATGTTTGTTTAATCGAGTATTTTTCATAATCTCCAAGCTGCAAACTAGGTAATAATCCACAGAACTAAGTTTCCAAGTAAAACGCTGAATCTTGTTGTAGTGAAATGAATTTTAAAAGGTACATGTGAAATAATTGGTCACTGTTTACCAAGAATATTGATTGCATAAATTCCATTGTTTCTTTTAGGAGCATTTTTTTCTTGTATGCTTTAAATTTGATTCAATCCTGAATTTTTAGTTCAACCAATTTTCTGGTAAACAGTGGAAAAGTTTTTTTTTAACAAAAATGAATGAAAAAGAACATTTTTACAGGTAAATATCTGTCCATGACTGTTACATTTCAACATATTTTTCAGTTTTGATCTCTTTATTTCTATATTGAGAACATCTGTAATTATGCATTTACTTCTGTATCCGAATTATATACTGTAGAAAATACATAAAATTTAAGTCTCTTTTCCAAACTGCTATATTTTAGTGTTTTCTTTTGGAAGATTGTCAATTTTGTAGATTCAAAATCAGTTTTCATTTTGCTCACACAAGTCAAATGTTCATAATGCAAAATTGTTTAATTTGTAAACTTAATATATTTTTGTTGTTTTATCTTTTAGAAATGAAACGTTTGAAATTAACTTGTCGTAAAAAAAAAAAATCTTAACTGTTTACGTTAAATGCTTTGTCGAATTACATGTAAAAAAAGTATTGTGTTTATGTTGAATTACAGGTAAAAAAGTATATCAATATTCAAAATGTTCTACAAATATATTTTGTGTAATTACAAAAATTACAATGTCATTTTTCAAAATGTATAAGCTGTCTTGTAAAATAGTTTACAATGTAATTGCTACAGAATGTACATGTGTAATGAAAAAATATAGAACTACAGTTATGTCTTTTAGAGTTTAAGTACAAATCGAAATTTTACTATTTTACATAGGTGAAAAATTGATGCCAAAAAATCTTCCACAAAATCATGTTTTTGTAAAAATAGGAAATGTTCAAGTCCCTCAGACTGAACTGTCTTTTTTTTTTACAAGAAAACTTGTTAGGTACACAGGAAGACCTATTACTTAAACAGATTTCTAGCTGAACTGTCTTGCCATTTCTTCAATACCTGAACCTTTCACAGAGAATCAGTAAATATCAATTAAGTCTTTTGTTTGACAAAATCCATGATCTCCCACAATGCTAGAGAACACTAAGGATGTGATTCAAAATGCCAGTGGAAAAGTGATGTTTTAAATGAAATGTAAAGTAAAATTTCTATTTGTACTTTAACTTACAGTTAATGGTTGTATATGAAGAGTTTCAATGTTCTTGTAACAATGTTTGCAAAAATTCAAGTTTCAATGTTATTTTACAAATCCTTGAAAATAAAAGCAACATATTTCAACAATTATTCATGAAAATTTTAGTAACCTGTATGTCACAAATAATGTTTTATATGTATGAAACTTTTAAAATGTCAACAACAATACAAAACTAAACTTCAATGAATAACAAAAAAAAAAGGTCAAAGGCTCAGATCCAGGTATTAAAATAGAGAAGCCATTTACGAAAAACTACACCGAATGCCAAAAAAGATAAAAGATTTTTGAAGTCTAAAAGGACTAAAAAATATATGAATTTCAAATGTGTCCTCTTGTTCAAGATATAAGCATTTATTTCCATGAAATTTTGATTTTTTTGCCATAATAGAAAATACTTGACAGAAAGCAAAAAAAAATATTACTTTTCCATCATAAGGTCTTTTGCTGTAAAACTATGTCCTTCTAGGAAACAGATATAGAGTTCTATTATTGTAAATGTAAAATTTGACACTGGATCCATCCTTAACACATTATGACAGACATACCATTGACAGATGTAGTTTCCTCAATACCATTTTTTTTCTCTTAAAGAAAGTTAGGATGAAAATCAATTCATTCTTTCTATTGTTTGGTAAGTTTTTATGAGCTATTTCAACATGATCAGGAATTAAACTTCCCAGGTGGAATAAGGAATATAAAAAAATAATAATATGAAGTTTAAACTGTTGACACAGAAATATGTCTCACATGTATGTAATCTTGAGAGTAAAATGTAAATGTTGAAATGAAAATAGATACTTGAACATGTAAATTATGAAAATGAACCATGACTAAAGGTACAGGGCCTAGAAATTTCTGTGCAAATAAGATATGCTTATACAACTGCATACCAAATATCATTGACTTATCAAAAGTGTTTCCCTTAAAACTGATTTAATCACAGACTTTAGCATGTTAACTAGGCAAACGTTTCAAAGTCAATAGACCAAGACTGAAGGGGCAGGGTAAAACAATAATGTGTCCATAGTACACGGATGCCCCACTCGCACTATCATTTTCTATGTTCAGTGGACCGTGAAATTGGGGCCAAAACTCTAATTTGGCATTAAAATTAGAAAGATCATATCATAGGGAACATGTGTACTAAGTTTCAAGTTGATTGGACTTCAATTTCATCAAAAACTACCATGACCAAAAACTTTAACCTAAAGCAGGACAGACAGACGGACGGACGCACAGACCGAATAACATACTGCCCCTAGGTGGGGCATAAAAATCTCCATGGAAATGAGATGTACTGATAGTTATACAACTGCATACCAAATATCATTGACTTATCATTAAGTGGGTCCCCTTAAACTGACTTAATCTCAAACTTTAACAAATTGTTGCTGCTGCTGTGGGAAACAACATACCCAAGTTTCGCTTTTTTGACGCCATGTAGATTTTGTTGAAAAAATGGGTACAACATATAACAAATCTTACCTAGATTAGGGTTTGTGTAGTCCCAACTTTCTGAGTCATTTCTGATTACATTGAGTCTTGTTTGCTAGAAAAGAAGAAATAAATTTTTCATACAAATTAACATACAACTACATGCATTGCCAAACTTTGTCAGTTAGAGAATTAAATCACAAGCGAATTCCAAGAACCGACCACAGATATTATTTATTCTTTCAAAGACAAAAAGTACTAAGTAGTAAACAATGACTATCCAACACAATTTCTGAAATGGACCAACTATCCTGCACAATTTCTGAAATGGACCAACTTTCTGGCACAATTTCTGAAATGGACCAACTATCTGGCACAATTTCTGAAATGGTCCAACTATCTGGCACAATATCTGAAATGGACCAAGCACATTAACATGAGGCGGAATTAAACTATTTTTTTTTGTACTTTGACTGTATGCACAAGAATGATAAGCATAATTAGACAGAGACCAAATCTGAACCAATATGACTTTGAGATGAAGAACTGCAATAAAAGCGCTGTTCCTTTGCTTTTTGTGGTTTTTTTTTGCTGTGCAAATACTGATTTTGTGTCATGGATGGATACCACATATCCGTTGTTTTTCTAAATTTATGCCAACTATTTAAATGGTCAAGTGGACTGTCTGAATTTTTCCTTTTCCTTCATTGTCAGAACAATTTTATATGTTATACAATTGAACAGAATCATTTATATACATATGAAGATACAATTTCCAATTAAATGTGTGTGACAATTGCTGTAAATAGAAATGCAGTGTTTTCTGAATTAAAACTGCAAAATGTTAGTGAAATCGCAAAAAGACACCCCTAACCTTTTTTGATCAGCAAATATCACTGTCACGATTGACCTTCGTGTGTAGATTCTATAAATAGAATGTTTATGTGCCTGTCCCCAGCCAGTAACCTTGTAAGTAGATGCTTTTCTGTCATTTCAAGAATTTGATATTGAGTGCAAATATTTGATAGTCTGTTAAATGTGTCGGACAGTCCACTACTTTTTTTCGATTGCTGATTTAGTTTGACATATTGTAGAGACACCAGTCTAGTGTTGACTTCTAAATGTCATTTTGCTTTTCATGTTTGGTTTTGTTGCTGCCTCCCCGACATATATATTTTTCTATTCATATCCAGTGTCATTTACATGAAGGTCTTGACGAGGGGTCCTCCATTTTTGTATTCTTAAAATTTCTAAGTAATTTTTCTTTATTCTTTATATATTATTCCCATTTTTCTCTTTTCTGGCACCCCATTATTCTCTGTTCTTTATTTTTTCGGCCTGTTCTTCTCCATTAATTTTTTTTAACCCATTTTTCTGTAGTCTAGCCTATCCTTCTCTATTCTGAAAACCCCATCAAGACACTCTTACATGTACTGGTCTTAGACAAAATTTACCAAAATTGTGTGGTTATTCAGAGTTTCTTAGGAATTTTAATTTGCATCTTTGATTAGACACAAATTCTGAGAAATTATTCAAGCAAAAGAAATCATTTTTTTGTGGTAAATCATAATTCTTACATTGGCAAACTCAATCTTGAGTGTACAACAACCAGAATAAATATCTGCTCCATTCAATGCCTGCTTGGCCCTAGTAGCACAGTCAACATTCTCAAACTCAATCATAGCTTGGACACCATTCTTCTTGAAGATGACTATTCTCAACACTTGACCATGGGCTGAACAAATTGTCTGCATAACATCCTAAAAATAGAGAGAACAATTAAGGGCTATTCAATTAAATGTATGTGGGAGGGTAGGAAGGGAAGTTTAATTATTTAATGTGGGTCATGGGTCTTTTTTCAGTATGCGTCTAATAACATTATGCAAAATTATCTAAAAATTGGTTCTTGGTTGTAGGGATATTTTGAAAGTCCCTTCCTACCCTCCCACATACATTTTAATGGAGTAGCTCTAAAATAAACTCCCCAAACTAAGATGCAGAAAATCATATTTCATTGGTTACAAAGATCAACCAGGTGGTTAAAAAATAATTGAAATCACATTTGGGTTTATCTCCTGCAAAAAAAACCCAGATGATTACAAGTAGTTCAATTGGCAGCTTATTCATTGTTGACATGTAAATGGTAGCTTCATTGACAACAATGACATTGTTGTCCAATCAGATCATAGGGTTTTACACAAGAGTTTAAAAACCATATAGGAGAAAGAAATGCTTCCTTTGTTTGCCCATGAGTTACAATTACAAAGAATCTCCAACATGACTGACTAATCTTCATTTTATTTTCATATTTAAACAAACTGGTTTAATATCTAAAAGGAGAAAATATGATTAGTTCCCAATATGTCCACTATTTCTGGCTAAAATTTCAAATTGAGATTTAATGCCTATTATTGCAATAAACCAGTCAACTTTCAGACTTTTACTCAATGCTGCAAACCTAGCAACTCATCACAGCTATATATGTCAGTATTATTCAGGATTGTTAAAGACAATATAACTCGTTATTTGGTAGACCAATCAAAACTTTGTACTTAGCAATGGCTGGCCATCATCAACTGTTAACACAGAGATATGTCTCGCCTATTTGTTATTTTGATAATGCAAATGTTGAAATTAAAATAGTAATACTTTAACATGTAAGTTATGCAAATATTCAAAGTCAATGAACCATGACTGAAGGTATACTGCTAAACTATCTCCATGGAAATGAGATGTGCCAATGTTAATACGACTGCAAACCAAATACCATTGTCTTTTCGTAAGTCGTTCCCTTTAAACAAACCTAAACACAAACATTAACTTGTAAACTATGTAAAAGTTTCAAAGTCAATGAACCATAATTAGGGGGTGGGGTTATATAAGCTCCATGGAAATGCAACTTGCAAATGCAAATACATTTGCATACCAATTATCATTGACTTTACATTAGTGATTCATCTTAAACTGACATAATCACAAACTAATACATGAAAACTAAGCAAAAGTTTCAAAGTCATAGACCATGAATGAGGGGGCGAGGCCAAATAATCTCCATGGAAATGAGATATGCCAATGCTTATACAACAGCATACCAAATATCATTGACCTATCACTAGTGGTTCCCCATAAACTGACCTAATCTCAAACTAATACATGTCAACTAAGCAAAGTTTTAAAGTCAATAGACCTTGACTGAGGGGGCGGGGCCAAATAATCTCCATGGTAATGAGATGTGCGAATGCTAATACAACTGCATACCAAATATCACTGACCTACCACTAGTGGTTCACCATGAACTAGACCTAATCACAAACTAATACATTGTTGACGCTGCCGTTGCCGCCGGAAACAGCATACCTATGTCTTGCTTTTTGACTCCGTCAAGGTGAGACAAAAACTGTTGTAGTTGAAATGAATAATTTGTAGACCAATCAGAAATGTTGTACTTACCACAGTGATTGGATATTGTGGATTCAAGACTGTGAATAATAGTATATGGTTTGGTGGTCGATTAGGGTCATCTCCCATCCTGTAAAAAGTAATGAAATAATAATCAAGGAAGTTTCCTTTATATTAAAATATAGGGATCTAGATTTTTACCGCTGCATCAAGCAGTAATTGATATTTATTCACTCAAGAATTATTTTTTTTTATATTTAATTGTTGAGAGTGGAGGAATATCTTACAGCACAGAAAACAGTGGAATCTGGTTTCCTAAATGATGTTGGCTAATTTAAAGTTACTGCATCAATAATCTGATAAAAAAAATCTGTTCCTTCTTTGAGACGTTATTAGTCTCGTTTTCCTGCTGTTAAAATAGTAAAATCACACTAAAGGCAAGAAAATTTGACGCCACAATTGAATTTGGTCAATGAAGAACTAAGAAAACTGAATCACACATTGATTTAACAAAGAAATAACTTGTTGGGGAAAGCAAAACTTCTGCTTAAAATTAGAAATACTAATTCACTAGTTCTGTAAAATTCATTAACACACATGATCTCTGATAGGTAATATAATTCCATAAAATATGTTATTTGTGCAAATTTTCTAAATATTAATAATTGATCCGTTTTTTATTTATGCTTGAAGTGCATACTTGTGTGGTTGAATGGTTTGGATGATATACAATTCTAGTCCAGGCGAACTTACACCTCTGCCTTAATCCGCAGGCGAACTTACACCTCTGCCTTAATCCGCCCCAGATTGCGCACGTTTCTTAATTGTTATGGTAAATACACAATGGCAAAGCTGTTACACATGAAGTGAGCTCTTACAGAAACATGTGATATACATTATTACCATTTATAAAAAATATTCATGTTGATATTGGTCAAAAATGGTTCAATGGGTGCCAGAGTTGATGTTTAAGAAATGCAAAAACCTGCTGAGCTCACTTTCTAGGCAATGCCAAGATTATATAATAACTACTGTAAATTCAGAATTTTTTGCGACGTTTTTATTCTATTATTGCAAGCGGAGTTTCCCAAAAAATAAAAACTTGCATTTTAAACTTTTGCTGGCATCATTTGTATGCAGCATTTACTGAAATCACAATAAATAATTTTACAATTTTGTCTATTATTCAACACTGCAAATATTTCTGAATTAGCATGTACAGTATATAGAATTCTACATTCTAAGCTATGCCTAGATTATACAATAATAACTATATTAAAAGAATTTTCCTGACTAACAAACGGTTCTACAATTTACATGTAATTGGGATCATTATACCCAGGTGCTGGCCTTTGAATTCTTTGACTAGTTGAGTAGTTGAAGAATGCTGCTTGCTGTCCAACATAAATTGGATTGTTCTGAAAATCAATATAAAACGGTCATGTTATTTGATAATAGAGTCAAAACAATTCATCAGAAATTCCATTTTCAATTTTTATAACTGTTTGTTTTATTAATTTTGCTTTGTTTAATTTCAGCAAAACTTGTTCTTAAATTGCTAGGATTCAACAATTAATACATATGAAGAGAGCACAATCATACATAACCATTACCAATAACTGAATATGTGTGTTTGACTGAAATCAAGATGTCCCTAATAAATACATGACCTTTCAAAAAAAATGTGTTATAGTTGCTTAATCAATATACTATGTGAAATCTATGTTTTTACACACTAAGGTCATAAAAAGGTATGTGTTTAGGGTTTTGCGACCGACCCTAATTTTGAGCACAGAGCCTAACATTTTTATGAGTATTTTTCTCTAAAAAAATTAACCAAACTTAATATCAGTTGTGGTCAACGCCAAACTCATTTTGTAAAAATATGAGACATGCGAGACAGAACTGATAAAAAATTTTGTGAAACCTATGCAGCATTTGTTCATTGATAAACTAAAGATATTCGAAGTTTAGGTTTATTAGTATGTAAAATATCATAACAAAACTCTGAAAAACACAATTTTTTTCAAGATTGTGTCAGAAAAAAAATCTAACCTATGGCCCCTTTAATTTTTTGGAAGGAAACCCAAAACACACATATTGTTTCAGGCCAAACAATTTTTTCATACTTACCAAGGAATAGTTGACACAGTTTTTTGCTCCAGATATATCCTGTAGAGAAAAAAAAAACAATTAACTTTTAGTTTACATTCATAACACATTTCTGGTAAAATATGAAAGAGTTCTTCATGTTCTTGTTATTCTAATATGTGTTTCAATTCAATTTCATACAAAAAAATAAAAATAAAATCCAAATTTAACTTTTTTAATAAATATGATGCTTTATACATTTTCTTGTAAAATCATTGTTATGTTGAGTTTCAGCAGTTAAGATCTCTAAGACTTACTTCTTGTTACAGCTCTTTTATAAAAGCATGCAAAGCAAACCTTTGATCAACTTGCTTGCTATGTTTGCTTGGATGTTTGCAAACAATAGGTAGGCAGAGTTTCAGTCTGTTTTGTATATACTGGAATTTGATTAGACAATAAAAATTGACATGCAATGAAGTTATGTTTATTGTCCAATCAAATTCCAGTATATAGTAAACAGACTGAAACAGACTACCTACCTTTTGTTTACATAGAAGAGCTGTAAGATTTTTAGGTAATTTATAGTCTTACATTATGGAGCATGTGGTTCACCCTTAGTTTTTTTTGGAGGAGTTCATGTTATTGACACGTGCACTCAACTGAAATTTTTCTGTGTAGCTAGTGTTTTTAGGACTATTGTTTTATCATTTGTTCTTTTTCTTTGGGTTATAGTATTATCTTTTTCCTTCCACTTATGGTTTTTGATTGCCTCCTTGGTACCCTATCCCTTTTTTACTAACTCTGCTTGGTACTTTTCCCCTTTTTGACTAATTCAAATTGACAATCTTGCATGCTTTTGTGCATAGTTTAATGTACATGTATATATTAACAAGTAAAACTGTGAGCTACTGCTCACTGATGATACCCCTGGTGAAATATTTTGGTAAACAGGAAGTTGTTGAGTGATGAATCTGAAAACACATCACACGGTATAGCTGACTTATATAAACCCTGAAACCAAATTTCAGAAATCCTTGTCAAGTAGTTCCTGAGAAAAATGTGATGAAAATTTTCAACTTGGCTATCATATGTAAAATAATACAAGTGTTGGGTAAACAGGAAGTTGTTGAGTGATGAATCTGAAAACGCATCACACAGCGTAACTTACTTATATAAACCCTGAAACCAAATTTCAGAAATCCTTGTCAAGTAGTTCCTGAGAAAAATGTGACGAAAATTTTCAACTTGGCTTTCATGTGTAAAATAATACAAGTGTTGGATAAACAGGAAGTTGTTGAGTGATGAATCTGAAAACACATCACACGGTGTAACTTACTTATATAAACCCTGAAACCAAATTTCAGAAATCCTTGTCAAATAGTTCCTGAGAAAAATGTGACGAAAATTTTCAACTTGGCTATCATGTGTTAATAATACAAGTGTTGGGTAAACAGGAAGTTGTTGAGTGATGAATCTGAAAACGCATCACACGGTGTAACTTACTTATATAAACCCTGAAACCAAATTTCAGAAATCCTTGTCAAGTAGTTCCTGAGAAAAATGTGACGAAAATATTCATGGGATGGACGGATGGACTGACGGAAGGACAGACAGAGGTAAAACAGTATACCCCCTTTTTTAAAGCAGGGGTATAATAATAAAACAGTATACCCCCACTTTTTTAAAGCGGGGGTATAAAAATAAGATGTGGTATGATTGCCATTGAGACAACTGTCCACCAGAGACCAAATGACATAGAAGTTAACAACTACAGGTGACAGTATGGCCTTCAACAATGAGCAATACCATTACCACACAGCAAGCTATAAAAGTCCCTGTAGTATGCAGTGTTCTCCCCAGGCCAATATGACGCTGCCGTGCCGCAGCGCCTTCATAATATTTTTGTAGATCCCACAGCGTCTTAATTGGCCGCTGTTCCTTAATACTTGATCCCGCAGCGTGTTAATTTTCACATTTTCATTATAAATGTTGGTTAAAATTGTCAAGTTACTGATCACTGCTGATGGGTCAGTCAGTGTTACACAATAACTGATAATTAGTTTTACCTGAGCCACGCTTATCTCAGCCTTATCAGACTATGTTATCAGGTAATAGCATAAACGATCATCAAGAAGATAGATATTTTTTGAAGAAAATTAAAAATTTAAAAAACTTCAGTGCAGAAATTGAAGAAATAGATCGCAAATACATTGTATTTACGCATCGTGTGTGTGATCACTTGACCATTTATATAACGAATTTTTTCATTGGTCGAGAAGAAGAATATGTTTAAACACGACCAATGAACGTGTGGAATACACATGATAAATTTGAATACACATTGCTAAAGATATTTACGATGAAAACTATGAATGAAAGTATTATTAGTTGAAAAAATTAAAATAAAGTTTGATTAAAGATAACGAGGAGTGATTTACTTTAATAGAAAGTGAAAAAATGTTGTTTGCAAGGTAAATTCGTCTGAAACTGTCATATTTTTAGAAATAAAATGATCATTGAACATCGATCGTGAATCCGTGCGTCGGGAAATATGTGACAATCAACACGGGTACAGAATCCCAGCAGCTTCTGTATAATGTCACTGGTAAATAATTTCAATGGTTTTAACTTTAATGAATTTGTAAAGTTTTGTTTATATCTATCTGTCAAAGATAGGATTAAACAATTATACGCACGGAAGCGTAATGTGAAACTACGGAAACTGGTCAGCTGTTCATTTATAAAAAAAAAAATTTGTTTTAAAAAGTTGTATACCAAATATCTTAACCATATTCGATTTTATTAATTCTGAATGAACATGTTCTCTGCAAATAACAAAGGGGTGAATTATAAGCAAAAGGTAGATGATGGAAGTAGAAGTTTTTTTCAGACCAATGACTTCTAATGAAAAGGGGAATACACCTCCGTCTACACCAAGGCTTCCAAAACGGTCATATATGCCGGACATTTGTATAATGTCCGGTAAAAGTCCGTCTGGGAAAAGCATAAAACGGTCATCTACTTTTTAGTTTTCAATGCTTTCTTAAGAGACGGTCATTTTAACATAATTTGCGATCTTTTTGACCCAACATTTTGCCTTTAACAGCCACACATTTCCGGTCATAAAGGTGACATGCTCATTAAGTACTATCAAAACAACCCCTACTTTAATACCTTCTCATTTTAATCAAGGCTAATTAGTTGTCGAACAGCTGAAATTTACCTGTTCAGGTGACAGGTAAACTATTTTGAACCGGACATTGATCGGTCTATTCAAAGTTATTTTCTTACATTTCAGCGGTTTGCATCTAATTAATTTAGTCAAAAAGATTTAAATGATCAGAAATACGTTTACAAAATATGATTTGATGAAAAAATTAAAAAGGTGAAAATGAAAAATTGTCATAACCACGTTGTTTGAACCAGAGACATGTCTCTGTTTGAATTAGTACACGTGTGCGCATGTGTGACATTTAATTATGCTTCCTAATTTCTTCAAAAAAAATGCTTAAATTGTCATTGATACCTTTATCTTACGTTTATTTCGAATATATTCTTGAAGAAATAACGTAGAAAGATTTCATACTTTGCAAACATATACGGAATTTACATATCCGTCTCTGGTCCATGTTTTACCATTGTCAAGATAACATCCGGTATTACTTCATAAAACGAAAGTAAAAGTTTTTGACAACGTTATTTTGCACAAATAAAGAGGCTAAGGCAGATATAAGTACTCTGAAGTTGCACACTTCGAATGATGCACTGCCAATTTAACAGTTTACGTCAGAACTTCAAATTTGAACCAAAGAAAGTTTAATATCGTTTTTTTCAATGTCAATCATTGGGATGGCCAACTTGGCAACTGATTACCATAATTGCCTTTTGTTTATTTTGTCTTAAGGGATTAAAATCGGAATAATATATAAAATGTCCGGCTGGCTAAAAATAATTTTGGAAGCCCTGGTCTACACTGTCAGTATAAGCAGATTTCATTGCTTCTCCTAATCCCAACCAAGCTCAAGTTATAGCAATTGATAAAAGCAAGCACCATGTACAGTTTCTGGTTTCAATGACAAGTGGCTGACTGAGTTTTCATGGCTTAGAAATGTTAAATAGGGTATAAGCAAAAGTTATTGTGAGTGGGGGTTTAATTTTTAACCCTGAAGAGGATAAAGACAAAGTTGAGGAACAGATCTAGACTGTCCAACAAAATAACACTATCTTGAAACAATATCCCTAGAAGGAGCAGAGAGTAGAGATGAATATTTATATTTTGACTTCTTTAATTGACTGAATATAAATAACTTTTGTGTTTAAAATCAATTTATTTCATATATATATTCTTGTAATTCATTAATACTCTGCATTATTAAACACATAACACAAAGCATTATAATTCATATTGCATGTCACGATTTATGACTTATTGCTTCAGATCACAAAAGTTCACTCTAAAAAAAGAGTTACACGCCCTTGAATTTTGCTCCTTAAAAAAATCCTGGGGAGAACACTGGTATGTCAACCCTAAGTATGTTTAAATACACACTGTAATTTTAATCCTATATACTGTTCATTAGCCTGCTGTGGACTAAAACTTTTTTATTTTACCCTCAGGTTTTCAAAAAATATTGAATAAAAAAGCAGAACTTGTTTTTAAAAAAGTAACGTATGAGCAAGTATTTAGATGTAAAATAGAAATGTGTCACTCCATATTGTTTTCTAACACACAATTAAAAGTTAAGCCCACTCTTGTGTCATGCATGTGCCCATTTTTTGGAATGGAAATGCAACTTCTACATATTTCATAAGACTTGCACATTTAATATTTTAGAAAAAAATGAGTAAAGGTTTGGAATTGAATTCAATATCTAAAACAAAAGTGAAGTTTAAAATGAGTGCGCAGGACTGACATGGAAGTAATAAAAATCCAATTCAGATGAAGTGTGTTCATGGCTAACCTGTGCTGTTGGGTTGCAATCTCACAAGACAAATTTACCATTTTTATACCACCAACTCTTATTCATATTAATTCAATTCCATACTTACAGCAAATTCAACTAGAGCCTGGTGTCTCTTCCCCATCATCATAATGTAACTGTGAAAAGAATACCACAATAACTTAACATGTGTTTCATGAACGTATACAAACATCAACTTTTATATATCATTTTTCATTGCATTTCAAAATGTTTTTAAAGAAAACATCAAATTAGTTACAGACTTCCACTGACATTCATGACTTATTGGTCAATGTCAGTGGCCAACACCGCTAAAATAATTTTGAACTTCACTTGTATTAGGACTCCTTTCATAAGATTTGTAGTACAGCAATGTATATGTCCAACCATACTGTCACCTTAGAAATTTTCCTTTTTGCATAAATTGTTGCTTTCAAATACATGAAGATGGTAGGATATACATTTCTAATCAAATCTTTAACATTTGGACACACATGAAACATACTTCACAGTTCCAAAATGCTGCACAGCCTGCATCAAATCTGCCTCAGTGATATATTCTGATAATCCCCTAACGTGGACCACCGGTGATGGTTCAGGGTTGTGTCTGTCTTCCTAAAAGTAAAAGAAGGAATTCCAACAATTCAGAAGACAAAATAATTTAACACATGTGGACAAATCAAACATGCAAATTTGAATATTTTAATAAGAATTATACATTTTGCGCAGTAAATTTTATTTTTAACATTTTGTCATTTCCCCCCTTCATGTTGGGAGTAGGCGAAACTTCTGGGAAGTCTCTTGTCCCTATCCTTTACATTAGACATACCATTTATTTTCTTTCCTCATAAGAATTGAACCGAATATACAAAGGAATAATCATTAACAGTTTTGAATTCAATTTAAAAAAAATGTTTGATGGTTTAACTGGATAGGCGATGGAAATGACAAAATTTACACGAGCTGAAATGTACGAAACAGGTTATTCCACCAGTATATAAACTCCGTAAAACTTGACTGATCTGGATTTCCATACCTTTTGATTTATTTTACAGCCCTCAATTTAGTCTACTGAAATGGTCGCCTGGGCGACTTTAAAAGCTGATTGGCGACCAAAAATTCATAACTGGTCACCATTTGGGCTATTAGAATATTGAAGATCTGACGACTGTTAATTTTTGGAAATTAAGCCCTGATCAGAGTTTTAAAAAATCGTCTGAGCGCTTGACTGTTACACAAATTTATACTGTATTTCAAGCGCCCTTTAGATTTAAGCTTGATCTTGTCAGCGCTTTATTGCATCAGGTAATTGTAGGTCATTTGTAAGCATTGACTGAAAATGGCACACTATCTTCGTATTTTGCACTCAGTCACAACTTTGACTATAACATGCCATTTGAAAGAAAACCATTGGCATTGATAGATTGTGTTTATTGAAAGCACATGGTCAAGCCTCGTTCTCGATTTCGTCAGTACACAGATGAAACACGGTCGGTGACAATTTTGTAACATGTTCTCATAGATTCAATAAAATACCGGCTACAATTTCGCAAACGATTTCAGACGTTCACTTGATCGATGGGGCAATCACCAGTGCTTCTGCTCAAGTCCGATAAGAATTTTACTAGACCATGTAGACTGGGGCTTCGTACTACCGCTAAACGTCGCAGATTGTTAGAAAACATGTACATTTGTACATGTACAATGAAATAAAATTAAATAAATCATGTGGTTATTTTACAGCTGATTTATACAAACTATTTTCTACACTCAACAACATAAAAACACAGAACAAAAACTTAATACTTTTATTTCACAAGGGTTGTTTAGCTAGAAAAAAAATGTAGGCAACCTGAAATTATTTCCTGGCCACTGAAACTTTGAGTTGACCACTAATTTTTCATGTCTGGTGGCCAGTTGGCAACCTCATTTCAGAAGCTACTTTGAGGGCTGTTTTATCCCAAATTTGGGTTTCAGATTTTATGGAGTTTATTTTGATTTGTATTAAATTCTAGAGGTGAAGGATATCTTGTGAAAGGTTTGAAAAATGTGGGTCATTGTCAACTTGGCTGCAATTGTAACTCAATTCATGATTAATTTACTGAATAAGAACATTAAAAGAAAGATTTTGCAAACATTTCTAGCCGTCAGTGAAAATTTCATGGTAAAATAGCATTTAGGTCTCAAAATATTGCATTGAAAGTGCAGCTGGAAAAAATGCCTTCTGCTATATGACATAGAAGGAATTGAAGGCATCACAGCCAAAAAAAAAATAGCCTTTCAAAACGTCATTATTATTTGGACTAAGGTGGAATGGGTGTTAGCTTTGCTTCAAGATATTATCTGGTAGTGGTAAGTGGCAACCGTCAACTATACTGCCTCATTTTTACATTGGATGGCAATTTTTGATTCTATGGAACATTTGTGAGTAAGTATGAAGGACATATATTTTAATATATAAGGAGTTATATAAAGCATTAAAAATACATAACAAACCTATTTTAAAGTTTAAACACTAAGATAAATTTATCGAATATCGGAGACAGAGGGTCAAAAGTGGGTCTCATTGGGGTCTAAGCGTGACCCGGGATTGCCGATTTTTTGAAAGCGTGACACGTGAAAGTCAAATTATTGTGCCGTGAAAACGGGAAATGAAGTCTAGCAGGACACGGGAAATTACAAAAAAATTAGATAGCTTACGTACATAGTGTAAGCGGGATACGGGAATCTGACAAAACAGTAAGCGGGATCCGGGATCAGAACCCCCCAATGAGACCCCCTCAAAAAAATATTCGAATTTTGAAATTCTATTCATCATTTGAAAAAATCGACGAACTAAAACACAACCGTTGAAGTAAGAACATAAAAATCATATGTCAAAGGATGAAAGACAAATGCCAAGAAAAATAAGAGACGAAATGACAAAAGTTAATTCAATAATTATGGTAAATTGTCTCCCCTACCCACGCGGTCAAACTTACGATCCTAGTTCCAACATATTCGTATTGCACTTTATAGAATTTGTACTTTTATCAAAAGATGGATTGATTTATCAAAATATAAACAACAACTTACTCTGTCATAATGTGTATCGTCAACTCTTTGTCTTTTGTTAACATGACCCTCGTATCCGGCCATTTTTCTTGCAAATGTGCTAAGGAGAGAACAAATACCGTGACAATGACGGAATGTTCCTTAATCCCGGAAAGTTCGATCATGCCAGGGATTAGGGAACAGTCATTATCGGCCGAAGGGATCGGATCAAATTAGCCGAAGAAAAAAATGTTTACAACCCCAATCCATTGGATATTAATGGATAAAAGCGTTCATCGCCAGTTTGCCGTGTAAAATATGCCCAATATTAAAAGGGACCATTAAAGCACTATGTGGCAAATACGTAAAAAAGTGTTAAAGCACTACGTAGTGAATTATCCAAGTATAAAATAGGTGAAAAACACCACTTAAACAATAGATACAAGTATGTTTAAGCTATATATAAGCACTACTAATCAAGCGAATTGGGTAGTAAAATGTGTCCGTGTATGACATGACTTGTATATATATGATCTTGTATAGAAGCATGCCCAATGCTACGCCCTCGCCCCCTACCCCGACATCTGTTTCATTCTACTGGTATGCATGTCAGAACTGCAATATAAAGTTTCTAGTTCCATGAAGTGTTGTTTTTAATTTAGTATGGATTCCATAGTTTATGCTTTTGTGTGTATATTTATACTATTTACTTTTTGTATGCACACGTATAAAAATTGCGGTTTTTATCCAACACAATCATAGGTTTGAACGTTGTTTTCAATTTAGACTTGTTTGTATTTATACTATTTATATACGCATGTCACAGTCAACCAAGTTCTGATATAGACCTGGGGACTATTATACTAACGGGATTAGAATCTTCTTCTTCTATGTATTTAATTTAGCTTCCTATATAGCATGTATAGTCAGGAACACCTCTAATAATATTAGAGTATAAGGACAATTATGTAGAGAAACTTTTGTTTTTGTAAATGTATTTTAACAGACTATGTACTGTCAGTACAGCATATGTAGACTTCTTTTTTGTGAATGTTACTTTAAGAGTAATTTATACAGTTTTGGCTTTTATTTTGTTTAATTTTACAAACTTATATTATTTACATATATAGGTGTTATGTATGTCAAAAGCAATAGCTGGATAAAAATAAGTGATACTCAAAAGGATTTAATTTACATAGGGAGTTAATGTGTCTTTAATTATACATGTGGTATTAAACTTATAACTTATAAAGCTGCTTCGGCTGTCAAAAAATCATTTTGAATTGGTCTTGACTTCTAAAAGTAGTATTCAATGATTAAAATCTAAAATATGTCTCTTTCGTTATATACTTTTAAGAATAAGCTAAATCAAAATAAAAATAAGATTATATACCCAATATTAAAATCCCTCTGTGACATTTTTTAAAATATTTGTCATATGTCCATATTAAAAGTTAAAATTTTAAAAATTATTAATATTAAAATCCAAGGGGAATTAATAATATGATCCAAATATATATGGCAAATTAAAAAAAATTAAAAAATAATAAATTTTGGCATCTTATAAAAGAAAGAAATATTAATCGTTTAACCTTCCCCAGCTTCACTTGAATATATATGAATTCTTGCTTATAATATTATTATCATAATAGTACACTTATGCCACCGTGCTTGTATACGGGTAATTTGTGATTCCTCATGAAAGAAGAAGAAAAAAAGAGACATTGTCCCCCTTCCGTATTCTCGATTAGAATCTCGTAGGTTTTTCCTTATGATATACCTAATTACCGGACTCCACCAGATTTTACGAGACTTGCGAGGATTTGGAGTGAACTTGATATCAACGGCCGTGTCAATATACTATGTCCAAGTATAGCCCTACCTTTAAGTTGTTTAGGTATGAATTTATTTTATGGAGGTAGTTTATTCCTAGTACATGAAAGTGTGAAGTGTTCTAGATTTTCAACTACTGCAGCCGAAATATTTGTCAACACGATTTTATAACATCCTCTTCGTATATAACCATATTTTGGGACTATTATACTAGTAGTGCCAGCCATCTTATATTCTAATCGTTGCGCAAATCTTAAGACTTTCTACACGATCCGGTACATATTAAAAATTTGCTGGTTGGTCTTTTTCATAGCTGCTTATATAAAGAGATAATTGGTGTGCCGAAACCAATTTAACACAAAACTCCTTAAACCTGCTGTCATAATCGCTTGCTTTATCAAGACGGAGATGATAACATTTTTTTTATCATTCTTTTTTCATTTGATTTTTTATATAATTATTTACCAGAACGTTTTCCTGTGAACTCTTAATCAGTATAGTCAGACCGTTCAAAACAGCGAAGAGCTTTTGGATCTTATAGTGTTTGCAGGGGAGGTACGTTGCTGCTGGACTTTCCACTGTTGATAAAGTCAGTTTGTTTTCTTAAACAGCGATTAAAACACATCTTGTGTAAAATTATCATTTTCGGCTATTCGTTATAATTATTATTGGAATAACTATTTCATCGTTCGCCAAAATCAATTGATGATTTTTTTGTGTTTTGTGTTTTTTGTGTTTAAAAACTTTTTTTTTCTTCATCGTATTGTAGAAATGAAACCAGGATGTTCTTTCCAAGTCCGTACCAATACCTTCAGAATATTACAAAATTTTGCTCTACTCTATTTTCATTTGTCACATTTTTCTCTATTCTTTATAATTTAGCACCCCCATTATTCTCTTTTCTTCATATTTTTGGCCTATTTTTCTCTATTTTTAATTTGTTAGCTCTTTATTCTGTACTTTTTGCTTAGTATTCTTTATTCTGTTAAACAACCCAGACCCTCACAAAGGCGTTTGAAGTAATGTCATTTGTATGTGGATTACACTAGCAACGGTACGGTTGTCACTAGGGGAGCAACTTTTCACCCGTAGTTCACCTAAGTTCAATCCAAAATAGTGGATTTTGTGTTACTGAATCTTTACTTTTCTGTGTGGTGTTTTGATGAACTGTTGTTTGTCTTTTCCTTGTTTTTCGTTCGTCCATGGTGGTCTTTTTCTTCGACTCGTGGGTTTTAACCCCCCCCCCTTTTTAATATAAGTAACTGAAGTTGCATTATACATATATATTACATTTTGAAACTATATTGTTGGATTCGAACTTCAACATTTCAAAGTATAGACCCAAACTGTTTCGTTCGTATATTTCTATTCACTCAGAATATCTTTTGAAAAGATAAAGTACACGGATGTCTGTGAATCCAATTTTAAATTCAAAGACAAACCATTTCTAAAACGATGAAAAATTAATATTTCATTAGAAATAAAGTCGTTATCTGATATCAAATAAAATTTTATGACAGCCATGAGTATTGACTTACATATTGTTTGTTTGTATATATGAGGGTCTGGATGGGATCCTCCATTTCTATATTCTTTGATTTTTAAGGCCAATTTTCTCTATTATGACGTTGCGCACGGTATTGGTACCACTGAGCCAATAAAACAAGGATGTTAACGTTGTTCCAAAGAACGTTTCAAGCGTACAAGCTTTTCACTTATGTGAAAATGCCACTTAAAGTTAACGTTGAATTTACATTCTTCTAAGAAGTCTTCATTTTGCAGAGATTTTCGTAGTCGCTTTATTATGAATTTTCATTTTTCCATGCCGGGGTTAGCATTAAAAAATGCAAACATTGATATCCAAATTTCCATAGAATTAAAAAATATTTAGCGTCTTTCATTTTCAAAATTCAGAATGTTTTGAAACTTCAAAACTGATTTTGATACAATGAGCGAAACAAATGCAGGGAAAAACGGACACTACCTTTCTCTTATGACATGTATGAAGAGCGTGCTTCCAAAATATTATGTGCATATATATCTGTATTATAAGTTTCTTCTTTTTCTGAAAATTTAGCAATGTTCTTTGTGCCGCAAGGCTTCTTCAATCTTGGCTAGTAAAATTGTTAATACTTTGTTTCTTGTTTCTGTCTCTGTTCTATCATACGTTTCTTTTTGTCACGTTGTTGATGATGGTATTTTCTCTCCCTCAATGTGTCTTTTTAAAATCTGGCTAATATTCAAATGCTTCTTAATTTGATTATTTGAAAGATGTTGATAGACGATAGCCTGATATTTTTCTTTTCATAATCTCATTTTATCTACACTTTATTCATAAGATGTCCGTTGTATTCATTTTTTTCTAAAAAGAAAGTCGCTTATACTGGTGTTATAATTCATATTTCATATACTATCGGTTTAACTCGAACAATCATCATCAGATGCGTATTAGTTCACGATTTTGACATCAATTACGATTTTGTGGAAATTGTTTAAAATTGGCAATATTTTTTGATAAATCCCTTAAGAAAAACTTTATAAAATATGCATCACGTTTGAAATAGAAATACTTGTTCTTGTCCTGCTATTGTCGATTTTCAATATTTTAAGGTAGAACGGGGTCTAAATAATTATTTTTTTATTGCAGAAAGCTGCAAATAATCGATTAATTTTTTTTACTGTTATTGTTAGCAAGATTGAATGATGAATAAAAGAAATTAATTTGTAAAATTTTCATTAAAAAAGAATAAATAATGAGCTTATCTTATGGTTACATCTTTTTCATTAAAAAAAAAAAATGTTTCATTGATTGAAATATTTAAATCATGATTGTTTTATCAGGCAAATAATCCAGAATGTTTATAATTTATTTTATAAAGGAATTTACAATACATTTACCTATCTTGTGACGAAGTAAGAAAACGACCGAGAACGGGTATTCCGTTTTGTTTTTTATGCTTTCGGAGAGCATATTATAAGAGCTGTCTTCTCATATATAAATTATTTAAAACTCTATTTTTTGGTTTTCTTTATATTCGTATAAATGTACATTTCCCGTGTATAATCCTTACAAAATCTGAACATTTTTCACAAACTAAAGCTCTAAAAAAAGGTCGGCGATCCACACTTTTATTATGTTTTTGAAATTATAGCACTTTAGCAAAGAATGAAAAACTCTAACCTTTTTTATATAGACCCCCCAAAAAAGCTACATTAACTGATATTTGATCAACAGTAGGCTGAAACCGATTTTTAAAAATATACTCATTTTGTTGTGACAAGATATATATTATTTAAGT